GTGAAATTTTTACCTTTTTTTTAGGCAAATGTTGCTTAGTTGGAGGAGAGAGAAAATCAAAGATCACCCTGTAAGAATGAGATTTTTATCATACTGTGGGACCCATCCAAATTAAAGGATAGCCGCGCTGCACAGCGCCAGCTAGGCGCGTGTATGCACGCGCCAACTAGCGCGCCTGGCAGTATTGTTTTTATTTATTTTTTTAAATTTTGCATCAAACTTTTTTTTTAATTTTTTTTTTTTTTTACTTCTTCTCTTTCCCTCCCCCCTTTCTCTCATACATGACACCTCAAAAACCACCCCAAAACCCCCACTATTGATGATGCCTTAGAGCATCCCTAATAGATGGTTTTTGGGTGTTTTTTTTTTTTTTTTGGGTATGTGAGGTGGAAGAGAGATAAGGAGGAGAGAGAATATGAGAGATCTTTGTACAAGGATTTTTTTTTTTTTTTTTTTGCTTTCATTGTGGGTCCACCAAATAATTTAAAAGTAGCTTTTGGTGCGCCATGCGCACCAAAATCACCCAGTCGGATACGTTAATGAGCATTTTTTTCTTTGTTGACAATATATTATTAAGGATGCTCTACAACATGACCTTTTTTTTTTTTTCCACATATTTATTTCATCCCCACGTTTTATTTTGATTATGGGACTAAGGGAGTATCACTTTGGGTGCTTGCCCCCTCATGTATATTTAATTATTTATATCTCATACACCTCCATAGAGCTTTATAAAACTATATATGATATATTAGTAATGTTTTTGAAAGAAAAAGTACAATACAAATAATTAGTATTAATTGAAATCAATAAAAGTTTGTAATCAACAGATATTATAATAGAGTTAATCGTATTAAAAAAAAAAAAAAGAGTTTTAACTATTTTTACAAACTTTTTTTTTTTTTAAAGATTTATAAATGTAAGGAAAAAAATGTTAAATTGGCCATTGACTTATCACATTTGTGTAGATGTGCAATTGAATCATCAAACATGTAAAATATGTGCAATTAGAATATTTTTTTTTGTTTTTTTTTTTAATGCAATTTGAATTAACAGCATTTCAATCTTGACTCTCAACTAGTATGATAGAGGAAAAGACAACTTTTAGTACATACCATGTAAGCAATATGATCGAATTCTACCAGAAAATTGAAGAATGTCTCAATTGTACATATTTTGTTTGCTTAATGTTTGAATTGCACACTTTTTAAATTCAGTGAACTAATTATACAAATACAAAAAAATTTAGTGATCCATTTGATACTTTTTATAAAAGTCTAAAGATATTATGTAAAAGTTATTTAAAATCTATAAAAATATATCCTTTTAAACGTTTACAAAAAGCTTAGGTTATTAAAAAAAAAAAAAAAGTGGTATAACACTATAACATTACGTCAATTTTTGACATGGCACATGATTCGCTTCAGTCAGGAAGTTAGTTATAGCGATTCGCTGAATTGTACGTGAGGTAGTTATATATCCGCTCGAACCTTGCGGTTTGACCCGGCCAAACCTCCATGGACAACAAACTTCTACAAACTACAAACCTTGCCTGCAGCGTTAGCGCTTATCTGCGTACTATAAACCTCCATTTCTCTGTAGCAAAGCTCCCTGAAGAACCAGAGGTTCGGAAAAGAGGTTATAGTTTCCGATTTTTCCTTGGAGTTTTGATCGGAAAGTTTTGACGATGAATTCACGGATTTCGAGATCTGCTCATTGCGCTGCAAGGTTTCTCTCTGCCTATTCCAAGCACAGTTCTCGTGCCTTCTCCGGTACTTTCTACTTCTAAATCGATTCATTATTGTTATATTCCAATCTAAATCGATTTCCGAGCTCAAACTTTACTATAATCTATGCAAGTAGCAATCCAACTGTGAGTTAGAACAGTGTCCTTGATTTGAAATTATTTACTGGTTACGTAAGGAATCCAACTGTGTCGCTCTGATCTCCTCCGCATTTTCTTCTGGGAAGTTGTTTCATAACTAGATCAAAGGTAATGCGGTATCTAGCATACGATCTCCGCCGTCACATATAAAAACTGGGAGAGCTCAGTGACTATTTTGTGCTAATTATTGTCTTTGGTAAACTGTTTTTGTTTTGTATAAAATTGAAAACGTGGACAATGTAAATGCAGTCCTGAATCCTGATGTGGATTAATTGCAGGAGGGCGAGCTGCAGGTGCAGCGTCTGTTGTTTCTCTCAGAGGAGTTGCGTCTTCCCTCTTGCATGGTAGGGCAGAGTCGGCAAATGCTTCCAGGAATTGGATTTCAGGAATCCTTGCCCTTCCTGCAGCAGGTTAGTATAGTGTTTTTCACATTGATGCAGGGAGGTGTTTATGTCTATGTCAAAAGTTATAACGAGTAACGAAAGTACAACTGTATTTTCTTATACTTCCACATTCTTAGAGGCATGGTATTAGACTGGGCCCTCCAGGCCTTTGCCCAACAGTCTCCTAGCCACTTGGTTCCGCCAAACAGATTTTGTCTTTTTTTTTTTTTTTTGTTTGCTTTCTTGGTCATCATAGTTAATGTATAGACTATAGTTATATTTTGAACACTTATCTACTCGGGTGCTTTTGTTTTTTAGCTTACATGATCCAGGAGAAAGATGCACATGCTGCTGAGGTAACTCTATTTTCAGAATCATTCTGCATGTTCTCTTCATTATTTCAAGGATTGACAATGATAACGTGTGTTCTTGAAGATGGAGCGTACCTTCATTGCCATCAAGCCTGATGGAGTGCAAAGAGGACTGGTATGATATTAGTAAATTGCTTATGGAAGTATGCATATTGTAGTTTCACATAAGACATAAGAGGAAGGAAGAAACCTGTGTATTTAATTGGCATGTAATAAAAATCACACATTTATGCATCTTATTATGTCTGTTGCTGTGGATTCTAAATGAATTATCTTTCAGGTATCAGAGATCATATCCCGTTTTGAGCGCAAGGGATTCAAGCTTGTTGCAATCAAAATTATGGTACCTTCGAAAGTCTTTGCTCAAAGGCACTATCATGATCTCAAGGACAGACCTTTCTTCAGCGGTCTATGCAATTTTCTTAGCTCTGGTCCTGTTGTGGCAATGGTAAAACGAATATTCTCTTTACTCCCGAGTTCCGTATACTGGTTCAGTAGAAAGGATTCGGGTTTTGAACATAAACATGATTACTGTTGTAGGTGTGGGAAGGTGAAGGAGTGATTAGATATGGTAGGAAGCTTATTGGGGCCACAGATCCACAGAAATCAGAACCTGGAACTATTAGAGGTGACTTGGCTGTTATAGTTGGAAGGTATATCACTAATTATTCAATAATCACCATTTCTGTTAAATCATTGGTTTTCTTGCCTGTTAATTGTCATTAACTCTGTGTAGGAATATCATCCATGGGAGTGATGGGCCTGAGACTGCAAAGGATGAAATTGGGCTATGGTTCAAGCCTGAAGAGTTGGTCAGTTACACAAGCAATGCAGAGAAGTGGATATATGACTGAACATTGCGTTTTTTTTTTTTCTCTTCAATCCACACCAAGTGTGAATGATCTAAGTTATGAGAAATAATGTTTTCTGTTCTTTCTTTTTGATTGAGGAGCAACATTTCTCTGTAAAACTGTTGCTGAAAATTTGAACTATTGCTTGCAACAAAACATTTTACAGCTGCTCTGATCTGCCTGATTTTAGTTTAAACTGCTTTCTGGAGAACTGTGGCTATATTTTTAAATTATGATAGACGTATCTAAGCGATTTTAGGTTTGCCAAAAATTCAAAGTGCTTGTATATTGGTGTTGGCGGTCATTATACAAGTTTTTGTGGCACAACACAGATCAAGAATGCGATACTATCATTTTATAGGCGCATGACATGATAAGACAAAAATACTAATATTATAACTTGGAATAAAATTCACAAGTAATAGTTATAAAGAAAAATAAAAATAAAATGTAGGTGCTTTCTTAAATACAAAATAATAAATAACCGCATCAAATGCATTCATAAATTGTAAATCTAAAAAATTAAAATACTACAAAATGCGATAAAAAAAATATTAATAACAAAACAATGAAATATAATTAATTGTAAAAAATAGTTCAAATAGAAAACATATTATAAATCATACATCTTCTATATTTATATGATTTTTATATATACTTTTCCTTTTTGAAAGGATAAAATCAATTGATTAAATCATCAGCCAAAATATCTACAATGGACAGAGGCGGTGTATGTAGCCACTCGCTACAACCTGGTATGTGCAGCATGATTGCCGATCATTTGAAAATTGAAAACATCATCAAGATGATCAAGACTTAAATTCTTCTTAAACTGAAAACATCATCAAGATGATCAAGACTTAAATTCTTCTTTGATAATACTAATGAAAACTGAAAACATCATCAGGATGATCAAGACTTAAATTCTTCTTTGATAATACTTGAGGACCTCGGTATGTAGTAGTCAGGATACGTTTCTACTGACTACTACTCAGCAGGGTCCTAATGGTAGACTATTCTCCATTAGAGTCTACTCAGCAGGGTCCTAGTGGTAGACTATTCTCCATTAGAGTCTCTCATCAGCATAGAATTGATCAAGGAATTCCTTATATATGATGCAAAATGGATATTGTTATATCCTTAAATCCTTAATCCAATATTTCTAAGTGTACCATCTCAACATCTTGACGACAACCAAACTTTTTTTTTTTTTTTAAAGATTTTGACAATCATGACCATCAACCTCTTTCTTAAACCAGTCACTAGTAATCAATATATATTTTATTTTATTATTTTTTTTCTTTTTTAATTTGTGACTTCCCACGTAAGTATTATCAATTTTATTCATGAATAATTGACCATTTATAACTTTTTAAAATTTAAGAATTTAACTATTTTTCCGTATTTTACTTTAATACAAATAAATTTATACTAAAATGTAGATGTAAATAGGAAAATAATAGCAAAATTTCCCAACTCAGATTTTCAGACTTTAAAGTCTTCGCAATCAGTCAACCATTTGGGGCAAGCATTATATCACGTTTTCCATTCTCTTCCTTGCTTCCTTCGTCTCTTCAAACTCCTAACCCTAACCCTAACCTATTAAGCATCACTAAAATCTCCGGACGGTTCTTTTCGTCTCAACATTGTCATTGTTTTAAGGTGCTTTTACTACGGAATCTTTAATTCATCGCAAAATTTGTGTTTCATTTTCATTGGAAATTTCTCGCTGTTAATTATTGTTTGGTCTAGTTAATTTTATCGGCCTTTCAGTCCAAAACAAGCCTTTTTGAAGCTCTAAATTGTTTTTTTTTTTTTAAAAAGCATGGTAAAGTTTTTGGATTTTAACTGTTCTGTGGTACTCCGTACATGGCTGGGAAACCTTGGGTAGTATGTTTCTGCAGAGGATTAATCAGATTGATTAAAGAAATTATAAAGCTTTTCCCTATTTTTAAATGTATTTTAGGTGGTTTTCTTGCTTCTATCAGTGGATTAATGCATTTTGAATGCTTAAAAGTAGTTCTTGTTTCATAGAGCTGTATAGACTGTAGGACACCATGTTTTGAATGTCCATATATCTCTTGACACGCCTTTTTTTTTTTTTTTTTGGGTCTTAGATGGCAGCCAAACCACTAACAAAGGAGGCAATTGCTCTCACTGAGAAGAAAATGGATATGACATTAGGTAGCACTTTTGTTTTTGTTTTGTTTTTTTCCATATTTGCAATAGTGAATCTCCATTCACTTGCATTTTCCCCTTTCCTTGTTAACTTCTTACTGATAACTCTGGTGTTCACAGATGATATCATCAAAATGTCCAAAAATAATTCTTTTAAAGCTAAGAAGCCAGGAGTTCCAGTAAGTATATTTACTATTTTATACAGTTCAGTCATAGAAGGATTCTCTTTTGCTCTTTAAAATCTTATTTTGAACACTTCTTTTGCACATGTGCAGAATAGAAACCAAAAGTTTTCTAATAATGCTTCTCATGATAAATCTGCCAAGTTCCAGAGGTTTATGGAAACAAGATCCTCTCTTAGACAGGTATGCTAATTAAAGAGAGTTGTTTGTGCCATTGTCTAAGTTGATTATGGGGTGGAGTTAAGGTGAAAGCTTTTGTTTTTGTTTTTGTTTTTTTTTTTTGGCATTTGCATATGCTGATTTTTTATTTTTACTTTTACTTATTTATTTATTTATTTATTTATTTATTTATTTATTTATTTATTTATTTATGTGATTGCTGTATAGGGAGCTCTTGCTCAAAGGAGATCAAGTTTTCAAGGCAACCACTTTCCTTTGGTAGCTCAGGCCGCTAGAAAAGTTGCAGCTGCTCCTATTCACAATAGAGGCTTCAGCCGAGGCAGGGTAGTGAATATGAATGGACAGAGGTATGTTTGAGGTGTAGTGTTTATATAGAACATTATATTAGGATACTGTAGTTTGTAGTGTGGATTATGCACCTACCTTTAAGTTAAAGAGGTATCTTCTCTGTTGTGCCAGGTAAAATGCAGTTCTTTATTGTTGATGACTTTGACATGTGTTTCTGCTTATTACTAGTCTAAATGCATGCTATTATGGGAACTCCTCGTTGGCCTTGGCATAATGCACAAGTTGAAATTTGTGGTGTTTGATTATTGCATCCAAATGTATAGTTTTACAGTGAATTGAGATCCTATTAGGAGGAGGCATGGTTTGTTAATCATGTTTGAAGTGTGAATCTGTTTTTAGATCTATGGAGCTCCTAACTTCGTATACAGTGATTGGGATTGGATCACATCAAAGAGGGTGGAAATTTATAATTCTATTTTGGAGTAATGTTGTAAGGATTGGAATTGGCTCTCATCAAGGATGGAGGGAGTTTAGAATTAAGTACAGGTTTTGTAGGAGCTGGCATGCGGTAAACTGCTAAACACATCATGCATGGTCTTTTTGTCACCAACAGTTGTCTTTCCAAAATTGAAATGGATCATACTAAATTTGTCTGTCTTGCAGAAATGAATGGAGTGTACAGAAATTATCTGATATTTGGGTTTTTTTTTGGAGGTTGGGTTTGTGGTTTCAAGCCCATATAGACCTTTTCATGTGGCTTTGTGGTAGAGTTGTGCAATCATATCATGAATTTGCATTTCATGAGTCTAGATGCCGTTCAGCTGTGTAACCACCATGGATATGATCTTCTCCTGATAGAAGTGTGGGACAGGAGTTAAGCAGGTCACATGGGCATATGGCAATTAGCATGTCATCTTGCCTTGATACTTGCCGTTTTAGTTCTCAACAGTATCCAAGAGCTGACATGGGTCCTGCATATTTATCAGTTTTTTCAGCCACCTAACAGCTCTTGTGATATCACTTCAAAGTAGCAAATAATGGTTGCAACAGTATTGTTGATATCCATATTTTGATTTGCTGCTCTATACATCTCTTTTCCATACCATTATTTGTGTTCAAGGATCAATTCCAAGGATATTTTGGAGGGCAGAGATCACATGGCTTTATGGTAACACATCTTCCTTCACACCAATTGTTGTTTATTGTTTGTGTAGGGTTGCTGCTCCACAGACTCAGAGAAATATCACAAATAAAGGCGGCTTCAGTGCTATTAAGGTACTCCTCTTTCTATGTTTTGACAGGGGCAGACGTTTAGAAAAACGCTAAGTCGAACTATTCTTGTTGTCTGTTTGTGCAGCAACAGCAGCTGCAGCAGAAAGTCAGGCCGGTTACAAAGCCGAAGCCACAGACATTGGATTCGCTGTTTGCAAATATGAAGGAACAAAGGATGAAGAACTTTTCTCAACAACACACTAATGCTCCAAGAAGAAATGGAGGTAGCCATAGCCAGACCATTGTGCCATGGGCAAGAGGTCTTCTTGGCAAATGAGATATCAAACCTTGTTTTATCCACAACGGGTTGGATCACGAGTTTCACAGAAGGGAAAAAGAGTAGTGCTTGTTGCTTCGTAGTAGCAGTAGTAGTTTAATACGCATTGTTACCGCAGTGCAACATTATTCCTTTTAGCTTGAAACTTCTACTGTGAACTCCTGTTTGATTCTTTGGTTGAAATGAAGTGACCATGTATTATTGTATAGTCATTTCATTGTTTTCTTCTTTACAGTGTAGTAAGTGATGCATTAGAACCTAATTGGGGTTATGATCCTAAATGGAATGTAACGGCGTAGGGATCCATATGGAAACATAGTATCTATTTAGATATGCTCGAATGGCCCCAGAAGCATTCTAGCCTATTTTTATTTATAGAGGAATGGAGTAGCTCGACCAATAGGGAGAGGAAGGATTCACTCGTTTGAGAACCGCCATTCCCGTACTATTCCTCCTCACTCAAAAGAGCGATTGCCTCACGTTCCACTGAACGTTGGGGAAGGAAGTGAAAGGCGTGGCAAGAGAGCAAGTTCGACTCGCGAACGATCACCAAGTGAAGGACCGATCCTTACCGAGTTGTTCATGGGATTGATGTTTTTGATCCCAAGTGAAAGATTTTCATTAATTCCTTGTAGAGTCCATACTGGCGAACGAGTATAACCTGGATATCTTCATGGATTAAACGGGCTGGGTTGAAGATTTCTCCAACCTAGCTCGTCTAAAAACCAGGCTAAACGGCAGGTTAGGCTCGTTTTGATAATTTTACTAGGAATATTATATGAATTCATTTTTTACCTATTGTCGTGACATGCTTTAATTGATTTATATTAATATCCTAATTTCTGTATTAGTTTGTGATTTCGTTGATGGCATGAATTAGGTTACTAATATAATATGATGCAGGAGAGTATCAACAAGGGGGTGTAGCTCATATGGTAGAGCGCTCGCTTCGCATGCGAGAGGCACGGGGTTCGATTCCCCGCACCTCCAAGCTGATTTTTCCATTAATCAAGTAGTAATGGAAGCAGATTATTATAAATTGTAAAGTTTTCCTGAATCGTCAAGGGGGTGTAGCTCATATGGTAGAGCGCTCGCTTCGCATGCGAGAGGCACGGGGTTCGATTCCCCGCACCTCCAATTATTGATTTTGCTATTTTTGTATTTTATCCCAAAGTTTCCCTGCTTCTATCTCATCTCTCCTACAGATATAACAGACTACAGTCCAAAATCCGAGCCGGACCAACAGCCACCTCTCGTTCCTAATCTGTAAGAAACCCTCCCTCCCTTACACAAACACAGAATCACCCTCTCCCAACTGCTTCTATCCCCATTTTTCAACAAAAAAAATTATAAAATTTGCAGTGGTTGATTACTGTATTGTATGCTAATATTCAAGACGTTACATTACATATGAGTATCAAGTTGAGCTCCCCTGCTTGTCTCTCCTGTTTCCCTCAGAGATTCTCCGTCACAGGCACCGGTGCTCTCTTCTATCTCTTCTTCCGCCGCCGCCTTCCCGGTAACCGTGCGTTATCCTGCTGTTCTCGCAACAGTTTTTGCAGCTTTAAGACCAGAGCTGCTTTGAGTGAGGCGGCTAATGACAGTGAGGCGTCGCGGCTGTTGGACGACGAATTGCTACGCCGAGTCTCCACCGCCGCGGATGCCAACGAAGTTCTCAACATCATTGCGGAGTCGACTCTGAGGAGCGGCGGCACCGTAAGCTCTTCCGATTGCTCCTTGATCATATCTGCCGCGCTTGATCGTAGCAATGCTGACTTGGCTCTCTCTGTTTTCCAAGCTATGCGCTCCTCCTTTGATCCTGGTATAACTCACACACACACGGTTACTAATATATATATACACAATAACACACGCACACTTGCTTCCTTGTGCAATAGCTTGTTTTCCATTCATTTCCAAGTTTTATTTTCAAATCAAACTAGTATAGCAGTTGGAGTTTATTTCTGCTGCCGAATTATCCTTTACTGAATCAAAAGGCTTGAGTTCAATGTGTAAGAGTAGGGTATTGTTTGCACTCCTCCAGTTTGCTCTTATGAGCTTTACTAAACTCTCATTTGCTAACCTTATGGTGACCTTCAAACCTGTGACTATTAATGACATTGGAAGAAATATTGATTGTCATGAATTTTTTTTGGTGTTGGACAATATATGCGATTTCTATTGTTCACTGATTGTTTGCTATATATACTCCATGTATTTCTTTTGTCCACTGATTGCTTACTATATATGCATAGGTTTTAGCTCTTCATAATTGATTTAATTTCATTGTCAAAATTCAATTTAATGCACAGATGTTAATCAGAAAGGTCTGTCCTTTGAGAAATGGAAGTGGTCAAGGCCGGATGTGAATACCTACACAATATTAGTCCTCGGCCTTGCAGCATTGTTGAGGGTCTCAGATGCACTTAAAATGATAGCTAAGGTCTGTCGAGTGGGAGTTTCTCCTGGGGAAGAGGTATGATTTTGAATCTCTTGTTGCTTTTTATTACCATGAATCTCAGTTTACTAGAGCTTTTCTGTGTACCATAACTAGAATAGGTATGTTTTCTGATTGTCTTGATAGCAATATTGGCTTCCTCTTCCTCTAAACTAATCTCCAAGAATTTATGCAGGTCCCTTTTGGTAAGGTTGTGAAATGTCCAAGTTGCAGGGTTGCTGTAACTGTTGCTCAGCCACAACATGGTATCCAGGCAGGCACTTAAGAGCTTAATGAATTGTAAATCTATTTGCAGTCATGATCTTTAAAATGCTTAGCTTGATTACAGACCTTCATATTTGAAATCTGACTTTTGAAGTTCAGTTTCCATTTTTGTGTCTGTTAAGGTTTGCATGCAACCTGAAGGTGCATAAAAATAAGGCAATACAGGGGCCCTTATTTATTAAGAATTTAATCTTAATATATACACGTACTTTACAAGTTATGAAAGTATCTAGAAGTTGTTCCATTATGTTACTTACCCCCTAAAATGAATATATTTAGGTTATATGCAATTGTTTTCTGATGATTCCAGTCCATCTGTAAGTGTGAGGTTAGGCTATTTGCTGATATACTTGAAGCATGTTTTTTGTAGTTTGCATTAGAACTCCACCAGCATGGCTATTTACTTGCTATATTGGCAAACTTTTACAGAGAATGCCAATATGCTCTTAGGTTAAGCTGTCGTGTAATATCTTTTGATGGTTGCCATTTCACCTATTTGTGGGATTACGAAAAATTACACGACAATCAAGATGCCTTTGTGTGCAACCATATAAGAAAGCTGTATTCTCTTTGTTTATTTTCCCTTCCACTCTGTAACACAAGAATGTGCTTCTGCAGATTGCATCCTGTTACAAGTGCCGCTACCAGTATGAGCTTGTTTCAGGCAATATACTTCGCATAGAGTCGGAAGAAATCAGGTTGGGTTTCTTTAGTTGCATTTACTTTTACTATTAATTCCTCCTGTCAAATTTCAGCGATGTACTTATAGTTACTTACATAGCTGAAGTTCTAGGTTTAGTGTCTAGACAGATGTGAAGATTGCAGAACTATTCAGTTTGTATTACTGGAGCTGCTCCATATATTCTTTTACGGAGTATTTGTTGTTCTTGCTCCATCCTATTTACCCTAGTGTGTATGGTGTTGATCCTGGGATATTCACTTTTTCTAAGGATCTCATCCTGCCGAACGCAGCATGGGTGTACCTGCATGGAAACGAGGGCTAAAATTCCTGCAAATTAAGCAAGACATTCCAGCTGCTGTTCACTCCATTGTGGTACCTTTTTATCTTTTCAACTTTTATAATTAATTCTTTTGTTGTGTGTTAGAATATTAGATGTGATATATTATCTGTCAGTTAGTCATAGATTTAACTAATTATGCTGTACATATCACTATAAATTACAGCATACAGTCCTGAGTCGGTACTCTGACAACCTTTTCTCCTAAACTGTGGTGTTTGTAATGTTGTGGTTTCTTGTTTTGTACAAAAGTAACAAAACCAGTTAATCAAACTGCTGCTCTTTTTTCTTTTTCCCCCCTAATTTAATGGATAATTCTTAAGGCTTTTCTGTGTAATGCCCCATTACGATCATTCGTTTTCTCCTCAAGTGATTTTTCAAACATCTCTAGTTGTATTATTTTTGCTTTTAACACAACTTTCACTGAAGGCTCTTCATTTTCATTTATCATTTAAATTTTAAATGCATCTTCCAATTTAGACTGGTTTGTTGGCATCCTCAGACATAATACTTCTCTTAGTTTTGTATAAACTTACCTGAAACCAATTTTATATGTTTTCAACTCAGGTGGAGACCCCATCTGGAATGGCACGAACACACAGATTTGCTACTGAGACAGTTGACCTTCCTGCTCAAGAAGGGGAGAGAGTGACCATTGCTCTAGCAGCACCATCAAATGTTTATAGAGAGATGGGTCCCTTTAAATTTAGTCCAAAGGACTCAAGCTTCTATGCTGGAGAACCTATGTGCCTGACAAACCATGTAGATGGCCGAGAATCACCATTGCTAAGAGCCCCCGAGAAAGATAAAGGCACATCTTTACTAAACCCCTCTCTAATCTTCCCACTTGTTGCTGTATTTGCCACTGGAGATGCTGCCTCTGGGATGATAGATCCCAACTTGCCTCAGTTAATTTCAGTTGCTGCAGTTTCCTTGATTGCAGTTGGGGCCACTCTAAACAATCTAGTACTTCCACAGTTAAGCAAGGTAACACATTTTCTGATCATCTAAAATCTACTGTGTATCAACTCATCTAGAAAGGCAGCTAGAGATTATTTGTTTCCTTAATGATCCATCTTGTTTTAAGACTAGAATAAGCACTTCTAAATTCTTCTCTAATAAACATAGCAATGGTTGATCTGTCAAGAAATAATCTAGAATACCAATTAATTCTTTATGCTCTATGTTGCATCAAATACTGCAAATTATAAGTTGAATATCTCAAAATGTTCTTATACTGCCTAGTAACAGATATTCAATTTTCTTCTGGCGGCAGCTTCCTCAAAGATTTGTTGATAGTATGGCGATCAGGCAACAACTTTTATCACAGTATGATGTGCTCCAATCTCGGATAAAGGAATTGAAAGGAACTGCTGAAAATGAGGTACTTTCTCTAATAATTTGTTTCCTTTTGTTGAATGTGTTAAACTTGGACTTAATAATATTGATTTTGTAAATTAGCTGTCAAATTAGTTTGGCTTGTATTGATTTGAACTGTCTTGCAGTGACAAGTGCAGTAATTCTGAATTAAACTCCACCAGTTAATAACTTAATACCGTAACCAGTGATGGTTGTTCATTGGCGGAAATAAATCCATAAATCACTATATAAATTGATTCAAATTGTGAAATCACAAGATTGCGAAATTATTGTGAATAACTAAAGATTTCATCAAATTCTTTGGCATCTGTTCTTTCGCCTTAGTGTGTCCACTGCTTTTACGATTTGTTTTATATCTCTTAGTGATTACTATATAGGTTTGGATGTTGGCTCGCATGTGCCAGTTGGAGAACAAAATTTCTGCTGTTGGAGAACCTTCTTACAGGTAAAGGACTGTACAGTACGAATTCATTTGTTGAATAAATTATCAAATACTTTTCTGGTAAAACCATTGGAAACATTCCTCTTTAGTGCTCGGAAAAGCAGAGTGAAAAGGGTGCGCGAAAGCTTGGAAAGTTCCCTTAAGAGGAGGATAGAATTAATTGAAAGCTATGCAAGGGTATGTTACTGACACTACTGAATGATAATTTGATAACTTTTGACTTATCCATTCTTACCGTATATGCATTTTAGATATCTTCGATGATTGAAATCGAGGTAGAGTTGGATTCTGATGTTCTTGCTGCCGAAGCAGCAAGCAATGTGGTAAGGATCTTTTTACCTTCGCCGCTTCATTAAACACCAAAGGCCTATTGTCACTTGTCAGAAAAGAAAAGGGTCTTTCATTTCTTTTTGGGTATTGGCTTATAGTTGTACAAACTCGGGGCTCTATTGATGTTTCAATAAATATATATAGTTACATCTTGCAGCATTGCCTGATATTTCCATCCTTTGCTTATTGCGTTCTGCTCATGTGCAGGAAAGTATTGCTGATCAGATACAACAAATCATGGAGCTTGAAAAGCTTGAAGAAGTATTCCTCATTTCATTTTATCATTTTACCAACTTGTAGCACATTTTGTTGAGCATATAATCATTAATGTGCAATCCAACTACCAGCTTAGGCTTTTAGTTGAGATGGAGCACATGCTTCAATTTGGTATCTCTGATCTCCTTCTAAATGAAACTTTTGTTACGTTGTATCCCCTGTTGCAGAAATGGAGACTCCAAGCAGAGGCAAATGATGAGGCTGAAAGACTCCTTAGCTCTGAACCCTTGTCGGTGGAAAAGGTGCTAGACAGATAACTGCTGTACATTCATACCCAAGGTATTTTTTCATTACTTACCGTGATTGTTACTCCTCCATGTTTTACGTAGTCTAATTTTGACCGAATAAATGGTCAGTGGTGGACCTGATTATCGTACGTTCATGCTAGGGTTGACCGACAAACTGGAGAAATGGCGGCAAACTATTGAGATCCAGAGCCCTTGAAATTTCTGATGTAAGTCCAGCTCTCCAACTGCATACGATACGCCATTCATTTCCTGAAGATTAAATGTTAAAACATGGAAATCTTTGTTCGAGGAGATAGGTGTTTGTTTGTTCATACATGTTTTTATTTTGTAACGAATGAATCTTAAAGATACCAAAATTGAATACATATAATTTTCCAGTCTATATTTCGTTTAGGAAAATACTATGGCTCTGTTTGGTAAAATGGCTGTTAGCTGTTAGCTGTTAGTTGATTGTGTTAATTAAAGGGTATGAATGGTTGATAACATTAGCTGATTGTAGAAGAGTGTTTGGTAAATTAGCTGTTAGCTGATAGCTGTTTGGTATAATTTCTTTTCTCAAAAAGCTAATTGAAAAAGTTGCTTAAAGTAGCTTTTTGAATTTTAGCCTTTTGGAGTTGCAAAAAATTAATTAACCAAACATTTATATTGATATTTTAACTAAATCAAACAATTTATAGTGGTCAAATAAGCCAAAATTGGCCTATAGGCCAATTTTTTACCAAACAGGGCCTATATGTACTCCAAACTTTTACTTCTTTTTACAAATTCTTGATATAAATACCTTTTTTGAGACTCGCATGATGGAAAATATCTTATTCTTGTTTGACACAAAGATTAGGGAGTAGAATTTGAGAGTATATGTAGTATTAATTTTTTGTTTATTAGTTATTTTACAAAAAATATTACATGTACTTCTCCTTTTACTCTCAACTTTTATTCAACACACAAGATCTTAATATAGCCAGTTGTATTGGGACCCATATGAAAAAAAGTAGCCAGTAAAATTTAGGGAGTGTGTAGTAAACTCTTTTATTTTACTAGTCGGCATTGGGATTCACAAGGTCGTTGGCACTTGGCGGTGTTCCTTTTAACCCTCTGGTGGAGGCTTTGTTTGATTGATTGATTAGTGATTAGTCAAACGAAGAGGGAGGTGAGGTAGCCTGCACTTTTTCTCAATTTAACAGTTTTTGTTCTTAGGTCACATGTGATGTGCGATTTTGTTTTTTTAATATGTTTGGGACGTAAGAAAGGGAAAGTATAATTTAATGAAAAGAAAAGAACAGAATAATCTACTGTTCAACTTTTCACCTCTACAGCGAACAGCGAAGTTTCGCTGGAAGAACAAGGAATTGTAACGACCAGGCCACGCAAGCCATCACGCGGCGAAATATTGCATTTAGTTAAAACCAAATATACGTATATAATAGTTTCGCCCTTTCATTAAATGTTTTAAAAAAGAAGAATTTATGTATCCTGAATTTCCGATCAGAGATACCAAAAAAGGGAAAGTTTTAAAGCTAAGAAAATGAAAAATTGGAACAGAGGAAAGAAGATTCTGATTTCTGAGGGCGGAATGGAATGGGTACAAACAAGGAAATCACTGGCAATTATTGCGAATTCCGGAGAATTGCGAATAACCGACACCAATACGATACGTGTGGGTCCCCATCTGTCATGTTATTCTTCCTCCAGTTCGCATGGCTTTTGTTTTCATTTCATATTAGCCAATAACAAATTAGAAAACCCTATAAAAATAAAAATTATTTTAAAAAAATGAAATTTGAAATTAAAAATAGAAGAAACCGAATGCAGTTAGTTTTGTTTTGCAGTTTGCATTTGCAACCAGTGTCTAACGAATCCCTCGGATCAGAGTTTGGGGGATCACCATTCAGTCATTCATCCATCAATACCGATTATATTCATTTATACAGATTGAATCCACCATTCTAACCACAATGCCCTCGTAGACCGCCCTTTCTACGATCCCCCGCTGCAAACGCCTCTGCCCACGCCTTCTTTCTCCTACATTTCTCTTCGTCTCATCCCAATATTTCCGTTTCTGCTGCATTGTAAAATACCCAGATCGGAAGTTCAACAATTCTCATTACCCGGGAAGTATACCGTGCGTGCATACTTTTATAGCTAGCTAGGTTGGTTCTTGGATTCTTTGAAGCAATGTCGCAGAACATACTGGTAACGGGAGGCGCAGGGTATATTGGGAGTCACACTGTGTTGCAATTGCTGTTTTCTGGTTACAAAGCTGTTGTGGTTGATAATTTGGACAATTCTTCCTCCATTGCTATCTCAAGAGTTAAGGAGCTTGCTGGTGAACATGCCTCCAATCTTGAATTCTTCAAGGTACTTCTAATTTTTTTTTTTTTTTTTTTTTTTTTTAACTCCGTACTTGTCGTGTATGAAGAGTGGAAGTGATTAGATTTGCTTTAGGAATTAGTGTTTTAGAGGAACTTCTGGAGATTGGGGAAGTGAAATTCTTTTTTGACTCATTTCCTTGTTGTACAAGTGTTTGTTTCTTGTTCTTACCCAACTTTTGATTATACTCCGTAATTAGTACAGCTTGAGTAATGTATTTTACTGTATTTGTTATTAGGTATGGGATCACCTCATAATCATTATCTAGGAAACAACTTGAAAACCAACAAAAAAAAATGATAAGGGCACAATTTCAATGAATATAAAAATAAAATACCTAACAGTTTGAATTTGCTCATATTTTAGTTCCTGTGCAATTTCTATATTTCCTTTAACATGGAGAAATTTTTATTTTATTTTAAAATAAATAAATTGAAGTAAATAAAAAGACATGACACAAGATCTGCATAGGCATAGCTGATTAACCTGATTTTGGATTCTTAACATTTAATTTTATTTCTTCTTTTGAATTAATGATTTCTGATGTAGTCTTGGGTTTTACTATAGATGGATCTTCGTGACAAGCCTGCGCTTGAAAAGCTCTTTGCCTCCATGAAGTAAGGTTTTACTATGTTAATGTACTTATTTTGGTTGTTCTGAGTTCTATATACAATGTTACTTTGAAAATTTTCTATTCTTAAATAATCTATGTAGCTAGTGGATTGTTCCATCTACTATCTAGTATCTAGGATGCATGGAACTTCTTTGTGATGAACTAGTGACAAATTTTAATCTTTAATAGCTGAATGTTTCCACTGTAATAAAATATATTTACCATTTAGTGCTTTTGTGTCACACAACTTATTCGCTTTTATGTATTTCAAGGAAACTAATAGACAAAACTTGTTAAAAAACAAAAAAAGCCTCTTTTCCTGGAAGCTCTAATTGTGTGAAACAAGCATTTGAACTATAAATCCTTTTTAGTGCTGCTCATGATCTTGATTACATAGAAAGATGGTTATTATGCTGCCTATTTTTAGCTACTTTACAGATTGATATCATGTTTAACCATATACTGATAACTCCCTGCAGATTCTATGCTGTTATCCATTTTGCTGGATTAAAAGCAGTTGGTGAAAGTGTGCAGAAGCCTTTGATGTATTATGACAACAATCTTACTGGTACAATTATCCTTCTGGAAGTCATGGTTGCCCATGGATGCAAAAATGTATCTCTTATTCTTATGCCACTTGTTTTGTTATTCTTCTTCATTAGTTCTATTGCTTTGTCCTGACTATTTTTTTTTTTTTTTTTTTTTTCAACAACTCAGCTTGTGTTTTCATCATCAGCAACTGTTTATGGTTCGCCAAAATTGGTTCCGTGCACAGAGGAACTCCCCCTAAGTGCTTTAAATCCTTATGGCCGAACCAAGGTACAACTTTAGTGGCTTCATATTCTAATTGGTTTTCAGAATGATTAAATGTAACAAATGAATCTTCAATCTGAAATGAAGTGTAGTTATTTTCTTCCGTGAGGTTAAAATTTAAGAATGTGTGTGTTTTATCCTGATCTGCTAAGAATTGATCATTCAGCTCTACATCGAAGAAATATGCCGTGATGTGCACCAATCAGACGCTGAATGGAAAATCATATTGCTGCGATACTTCAATCCAGTTGGTGCCCATCCTAGTGGCGATATTGGTGAAGATCCATGTGGAATCCCAAATAATCTTATGCCCTTTGTTCAACAAGTTGCTGTTGGAAGGCTGCCATCTTTGAAAGTTTTTGGAAATGATTACAAAACAAAGGATGGCACAGGGGTATGTCTTTAAAAGCATCATTATTTTGACTAGCAACATTAGTGCATTACTCTCTGTTTCTATACATATGACCTACATTTATTTTTTATTTATTTTATTTATTATCTTTTCAGGTACGTGATTACATTCATGTTATGGATTTGGCAGATGGTCACATTGCTGCTGTGAAGAAATTGGCAGATCCTTCCGTAGGTATGCTCTTGTTCTGTGACTGAAGAATTCTCATTAAATATCTGGATTAATTGACCAGGATGTGAGCTCTTACCTCAACATATTTATCCTTTTATGATTGTGTCATGGGTTTAGTCCTGCAAGTGCTCACAAGTTTTGTGGTGTGTAATTCCCATAAATTTTAGTTGAACAAAACCTTACAGGTCGGATGATTCTTGCCAAGCAAAACCTGTTGCCCACTGTTATTTATTCTTTTTACGATATTCTCATTTCATTAGACTTGTGCTTTCCTACATCTGTCACATACTGGGTATCTACTTTGATGTTGAAAACTTGGTGCTTTTTCTGTAATCCTTTCTGTAAGTGTAAATTAGGCCATTAAATTCTTTCATGAGTTAAATGAAGTAATTAATTGTTGATATACAGCATTCATGCTTGAGTCACATGACACATTTATACATTCTGTAATGAATAATGAGATTACTTACCTTTTAAGAAGTAATACACTTCCATTGTCTTAAGTCTATTATAGCTTTCTTATGTTGTTTGGCTTGTTGTTTTTGTTCCTCCAGGCTGTGAAGTATACAACTTAGGAACTGGAAAAGGTACATCAGTCTTGGAAATGGTAACAGCATTCGAGAAAGTATCAGGAAAGGTAAAAGCAAGCTTGGAGGGTTCATTTGATTCTTACTCAGTTCTCGTGATTAATGTCTGTCTAGGTATTTGGTTAGTATTGTCTCAATAGGGAATGTGATAAAATGGCATCACATCACTATTGTGATGGTAAAAGAGGGGTGGTATGGTATGGTATATTAACAACTCCATTGTTGTGTTTGGATAGAAAATTCCACTGGTGATGGCTGCCCGACGACCTGGTGATGCTGAAATTGTGTATGCAGCAAACGAGAAAGCAGAACGGGAATTAAAATGGAAGTAAGTGTGTGTTTGGCGGATAGAATAATGAAAACCCATAATTGGATACCCTTCCTCAGGCTCATGCTAACATTTAATTTTCAGGGCAAAATATGGCATTGAAGAGATGTGCAGAGATCAGTGGAATTGGGCAAGCAAAAACCCCTATGGTTATGGGAAATCTACCTGATGTTAGATGTTAGAAGAAATGGAGGGAGAGCATCTTTGGATAAAAAGTAGGAATTAACTGAGAAGAGGAATGCTTTGCTGCATCTCTTTCTCTGCTAGTTGATGTTAGTTCAATTCTTTTCTAATTCAATTCATTCATTGATTAGTTAAGTGAGATGCATAAATAAATATATAGAATATATACAGTTGAGTATCATGTCGCGGCATACTACTTATTGGCTTCAACCACTTTGATCTATATCCAAAAGTTCCTTTTCTTTTCATTTCATTTCTCCTTTTTTGACTTATTTCACTACTGTTTGACTTGGTTACACACTTCATATAAGTCTTTGATTAATTAGTTTTTTGTAACAATTTATTACTCCAAAACACTAAAATTTACAAAGTTGTTCAAAGTAGCTTTTTCAATCAGTTTTTTGAAAAAATCATTTTACATGTAATCAGCTATCAATTAACAAATAATTTAGTCAAATCCACTAATCTAATAAGTTAGCATTTATTTGCCAAAGACTCTGCTAATCATAATATCATGTGCGAAGAACAGCTATCATGAATACTTGTTAATTGCACAAATTGAAACTCAAATTCTATAATGAATATAATTAGCACGGTATTTGATAGTAGCAGTAGTATTCCAATTCTCTAAAGGCCCATAAACCATTTTTTTCATCATTTTAGTTTGTTGCCAAATGCCAATCCAGAAATCCAATCCAACCCAATGCTTGAGGGCAAATTATGTTGTGGAACCGTGTCCACCTTGACACCGTTCTAAAACTGTTTATAATTATAAATATAGAGTTCAAAAATTATGAAGATAAAGTTATATAATTATGAACATAGAGCTTTATAAGTATGAACACAGAGTTCTGTAATTGTAAATATAGAGTTAAATAATTGTGAATATGAAGTTAAAAAATTATGAACATAGAGTTCTGTAATTGTGACTGTAGAGTTCAATAATTGTGAATATGAAGTTGAAAAATTAATGAACATAGAGTTCAGTAATTATGAACATTGCAAGGTGGATACAGTTCCACGACATAACAATTGAATACTTAGAGTTGAGACTTGAGAGTGGGGCCCTTGGGTTAGTTGAGAGACTTTCGGGATTTACGATCATTTTTAATTACTTATTTTTTAGGGTTAACGGTAGTTGATTAAAGTTATTTTTAATTTAATATTAATATATAAAATTTATAAGTAAAAAGGAAAGAGTTCGGTAAAATGGGAAGTTTAACCATAATTTTTGTGTGAAAGAAGGTAAAACTTGAACAAGCAAACCAAAATAGATTATAAATCGAGTTAATTTCACTAAGGTTCCTTATTTTCGGAGTCAATTTTAAATTTAGCCTAAGAATATCATTCTATGCTATTATTTTTTGGACACTTTTAGTTTTTCCCTATTACATTGTAGTATCTGTTCATATACTTTCTCAACCTACTAAAACACAAAGAGCCAATAACGCCTTCACTGAGGCTCGATCTCACAACCTTCCAAATGGAAGTCCAACCCGGGTACCATTAGACCACATAGTCCTGGTGGACACTTTTAGTTATTTTTATCACTTTTCCTATTTTTAATAAGGACATTTTTGTCTCTTCATATTTTTCTTTTGTTATTTTGCTGCTTTCAACCGGTTTAATTGGTTTAGGACTTTACTAAAACCGGTTGAAAAATATAGTTACTAAAAATCAGAGGTTACCTAAGTTCTAAATCAATTACATCGGTTTAAATGAAAAATTAAAAAATATATAAAAAGACAAAAATACCTTTACTAAAAAAAAGTAATGAAATTGACTAAAAGTATCTAAAAAATAATAGTTTGAGATGTTAAATAACAAAATTGATAGTCTAAATTTGAAATTGCCACTAAATACAAAAAACCTTTAGTAAAATTAACTCTTACAAATCTAATGCTAAAAATCTTGTTGTCCAGCAACATGATTGTAACTCTCATAATTAGAAGGTCACAACTCACATGCCCAAGTGAAATTGCAAAAATGTTTTTACATTAATTACATAGGACCAAATTAAAAATTTGTTACCAAAATTATGTAATCTAATAGTGTCTGGATTGGATTTTCATTTAGAAGATTGTGAGTTTAAGTTTCAGATGTATTATTGGTTCTTTGTGTTTCAGTAGGAAGCTAACCAGCCATTACATTCAATTCGAAAACAACAGTTCAGCGGCTTCCCACGCCATCTCCCTCCCTCACCGACACCTCCCAGAGAGAGAGAGAGTGACTGGCGAGTGAAGAGTACTCGAAGAAATCGAATCTAACCTCCATTGATTTAATCTTCTCTCTTCTCAATTTCTCATCTCTTCCCAGGTACAATTTTTCTATTCATTCCAAAGTGAGGTAAATGTGGTATTTAGATGCATAATGTTGGTTTTTTGTTTGTTTGTTTAGTCTACGATAATTTTACTAGCCGTACGTAGGAACTCTTGTCATTGTTTCACATTTGATTCGTAAACTAGATTTGGATTTAAGACTGATCGATGGAGTAGATCAATGCTTGTTGGAGAAGAAGGGAAGCAATCATGAATTTTGGAGTTTCTGTGATGCTATTTTGGCGATTTGAATTAATTCAAGTTGACGAATCACAATATGGACTGATGGGTGATCAAATTAGTGACTTTTTATAGTATTGTGAGGCTTGGGCTTTTGAACATTTTCTATTATCTTTTCCAAATTAGCCTTGTTTAATTCCAGCTTCATAGCAGCTTTCTTGACTGTCTTAAGGTAGTGTAAATAGTTTTACATTATACTGAAGGAGAATTCTCACTCTTTGAACATATTTTACTATGACCCAATCTCTAGTGAAAATGAGGCAGAATAGAGTTGTTCAGTAGTATTTACATTTATAGACTTGATAGAATGGTTACTCGATATTTGCTTGTTGGCCATTTTCTTGATCAAATTGTAGGAGCAGATTTTTGGATCACAGTTGATCTATTTACATGAATACTGGTGTTATTGGAGGTGTTTTGAAAATGGCTTATCAGCCAAAGTTTGGCTCGTTTGACCAATTTTAGCTGTTTGACACTAAAATGAGTGTTTGGTAAATTATTTTTTGGCTGGACTGATTGATGCCAATAAGTTGAAAATGAAAAAGCTACTTTGAGGAATGAGAACAGGTTTTCTGTATATCAAACGTATCACAATTTACACATAAAGAATCATCAGTGTTTCCAAAAAAACAACAATACTTATGCCTTATAGGCCATTTTGCATGTAATCAACTAAGAGTAAACACCATAATTTAACAAACACCTTTCTATAATTAGCTAATGCTATTAGCTGGTCAAAATAGCTAACACAATAAGCTATCAATTATCAACTAATTGCCAGACACCCCATTGGAATATGATATTTAACATTTTGTATATCCATTAGCATTTGAAATGCTCTTTGATGAATATAGGTTTCAATTGTTTTTTGGCAGGGTCAAGACAGAGAAAATATAATGGCCTCAGAGAGGGAAGACTTCAGCGTTTCGGGGCCATTGCATCTAGATGTTGTTAACTGGTATGCCAGATTCTTACTCATGAAAATGAGCAGAGTTTTAGAGATGGTGTATAGTGAACACCAACCATGAGTTGATACCCTTACTAATAAAAAGTTAAAGAGCAAGTGAGGCTGTTTTAATTCTGAAATTTCTTGCGATTGTAGGGATAATGCGGACCATAGGAGGTCTGTTGCTGCGTGTTTGGTCCAAGGTGTCTACATTTTAGAGAGAGATCGACAGGAAAAGCGGCAGGGAGATGAAGCTCTTGCTCCTCCATGGTGGAAATTCTTCAATTTCAAGTTATATCGTCAGCTTGTTGACGATGCTGATTCCTCTATCTTTGGTGCTGTTTATGAATACACACCTCCGGGGTGCAATAGCAATGAGCTAACAGTTAAATGCCCACGCTATGCCATTGCTTTCCGAGGGACCATTACAAAAGGAGATGCATTTTCACGAGATTTGGAGTTGGATATGCACATTATCAGAAATGAACTTCATTTCTCTTCTCGCTTTGAGACGGGCATTCAAGCTGTGCGAAACGTGGTTGCGACATTTGGAAGTTCAAATATCTGGTTAACTGGTCATTCCCTCGGGGCTGCTATGGCAATGCTCGCTGGTAAGACTATGGCAAAGACGGGAGTGTTTCTTGAAGCCTTTCTATTTAACTCACCGTACTTTTCAGCTCCAGTTGAGAGAATCAAGGATAAGAAAGTCAAGCATGGCATCCGAATCGCAACTAGTGTCATCACAGCTGGTCTTGCATTTGCTTCATCTGTGAAGAGTAACAACCGGCAGAAGAATCTATCAAGAGATTCTTCTTTTGCTGCAATCTCGAGATGGGTGCCATGTCTGTTTGTGAATCCAGCTGATCACATATGCTCAGAGTACATTGGTTATTTTGAACATAGAAAAAAGATGGAGGATATCGGAATTGGGGCTATCGAGAAATTAGCAACCCAACACTCTATCGGGGGTCTTTTTATGAACGTTTTGGGAAAGGACACTGAAGAACCAATGCACCTTATTCCATCAGCAGCTTTAACGGTCAACTTGACTCCTTCACCGGACTTCAAAGAAGCTCATGGAATTCACCAGTGGTGGAGACCTGCTCTCCGCTTGGATTCCAAAACCTACCTGTACAGTTAAGATCTCTCGTCTTGTTGATTTACTTTATGCTTCTTTATCACTCTCGATAAGCTCTTATTGTGTGGCATCTTCTTGGCAGTACATAGATGAACCTGTGCTTTTAGTATTTATCTTCAATCTTATTGCTCCATACTATATTATTCTAGTGATAGGAAACAAGAAATATCCGGGTTTTCATGCATTTTATGCTTATGGAAGTAATAAGAAATTTCATGACTGTATCTTTGCATTCAAACCTTTAGATATGCAATGCAGAGTTGGATTTAGACGAGCTAAATTTTGAGTTTTCAAGCTCGTTTATTACAACAATATTACACATGAACACCACGTTTTTCTTAAACTTTCTTGCTTGGCTTCTTTCCAATTCCCTCGTGATCTACCAGCAAAATTCCCGGCTTTCAGACTGCAATTCCCAGTCCTGGACTCTAGTCAGTGTTATGAAGCTTGGGAATGCTATTGTTACCTCCCTGCAATTATACCCAAAAAAAACATTATAAGCCCAAGAAATCTTGAAAACTTTGCCTTATAATAATAAATGCTTATTATTGTTGTTTTGTTGTGTGACCTGATTTCTGGGAGAGTCATGTTGCTGATGAGAGCAGGGTTTCTTGCAACCAACTGTTTCCACTCTTCTGGACTGATTCTCCCATCTCCTGTCATGTCTGCCTCTGAAATTGTCTGTTCAAAAATGTTTACACAGGTTAGGTCCATTGACCATTCCATGATGTTTTGTTGTGTTTTTTAGTTCACATATTCTTGTCTACCTTGTCCACAATTGCTTCAATAACATCCTCTGCAATCATTGACCCTGTTTCACTTATGGTAGCCAATACCATCTCCTTCAGCTACCACATTAAACATGCAAAAGTTATATATAGTATGCAATTTATGTATCAGGAGCGAAGAAGAAAGAGTCGGTTTGACAAATGAATACGATTATAGGAAACGTGAGATTCTCACCTCTTCACGTTCGATATAGCCTGTTTGCTTCAAGTCATACAATCTAAATGCAACTGTGACAAAAGAAAAAGGAAAACGATGATAAGTGCACTCCCGAAGAATAAAATTCTTACCACATGCCTTGTAATTAAACTTTGGCCTTGTTTGGTAAAATAGTTAGCCGGTCAATTTTGACTTATTTGACCACTATTAGCTGTTTGACTTGGTTAAACAATCAATATGAATGTTTGATTAATTAGCTGTCATTTTGTATGTAATCAGTTAACATCTAACATCTAATTTACCAAACACTTTTCTACAATCAACTAATCAAATTCATTAACTCAATCAGCTAACAACTATTTATCGAACACCCTCTTAATGATAATGAATTTAGTGACAGAAAGCAGACATCCTTCTTACATGCGATTTTGACAGATTCTGGTGTACGAGGATGGAACACGTTTAAGGATTGAACAAATTCTCCAAATTCTATTACGCCATTTCTCTTCAAATCGAACAAATCAAACAACTGCATCATGTATATTTATCCAAACATTGAAACCCAAGTTGTTATTGTCATTTTGTGACATAAATTTTTGATGAATTTTGCTCTGATACAGTGTTTGCAGAACATCGAGTCTCACCCTGTCTGCCATAAGATTTTGCTTATTGCTGCACTCGAACATCCCAAGCAGAAACTCTTCCTGTACAAGTAACACAATACTAAATTACTAACTTATCCATCTTTAAGTTTATAATTTAAGGAAAATGAATAAATGAAGATGATTGCTTAACATATTAACGTATACTACGTGATACGGTGCTAGGGTCGGTTCAGTTCCGGTCGCTCTACCTAGTCTGCCTGTTGGTTTAAGTTATGAAGCTCAGAAGACTTGACAGTGCGTCAAAGGTTTTCGAGCTAACAGTTAGCGTGTAGAAATAGCTAAAAGTCCCCCTCTAGCAATTAATGCGGTATTTATAGAAGGGGGAGAGGGGGGCAGGTTCCGGCCTCACGACATGTGCAGCACGTGGAACCCATGCACAGGCTCAAACTAGGGCCCAGAGTAGCTCGACCATGCGTCCTAAGATTCTTGATTTCATTGGGTGTACCGCTATCACGTTCAGCCAAGAGAACTAGGTCAGTAGATCTGTCCTGACCTGATTAGGTCAAGACAGAGCGACAGTTACAACGCTGGAATCTAGTTCAGGTCGAGATAGAGCGACATTTACAACGCTGACATCTGGTTGCCTATCGCTAAGCTTGGACGTGTATCAGGTCGGCGGTGATCAAACCGAGCTTCACTCGAGTAGTGGGTCCGAGACCGACCACTATATTCGTACGGTCGGTAGGGAATAATCCTCATCAATTGCACTGAACAAAAAGTCCGATCAACTTGTTGATTTGTGGTTACAAGTTTGACTCTCAATGAGAGCGGCTCAAAAAGTAGGATTTGCATACTCTCGAATAGTGATTGCAGCATTGTAGATTTCTCTCGCCACTCAAAAAAAAAAAAAAAAAAAAAAAGCACAATTGTTATATTCAAGTTCAATATAGTGTGTTGAACAGATACTACAATGTAATAGAGTCGGTAACATTCCAAAAAAAAAAAAAAAGTTCAATATAGTGTGCGTTGGATGTTCGAATATGACAACTTATAATCTATTTATACAACATCTGACAAACTTTATTGCGAGATACAATTAGTCGATCACATGAATTAAAATCAAATGGTAAAAAATGAGGCAAAAAACTAAGTAACAAACATCATATCATGCGAAAAAACAAAATACAAACATACATACCTTGTGAATAAGACCATCATCGATTAAGGAACGGCTTAGTTTCTCGTACAAGACATACAAAGCCTCCACCTCATTCACTGTAACTGTCAAATATCAAAACGACACCCATTATTACTTTTGGTTTAATAACTGAAAATATTCGTCCTTTTTGAAAAAAATAATACTCTTTCTGTTCAATTTTACCTATCATATTTACTACTCAGGGGTTAAACTAATTCTTAATATAAAGAAAAATTACACTATTAGTCTCTAAATTATAAGGTAATTGTAGAAGTCATCTTTAAGTGTTAGTTGTGCTCACTTTTCGCTCCTAAACTATTATTAGATCTTAAGTGTTAGTTGTGCTCACTTTTCGCCCCTAAACTATTATTATATTGGTGTTGTAATTTTAGTTCTTTTATTAACTTTTCGTGTTCACTTTTCGTCCTAAGTTATACTAACGTTGCAAATTTCGTTTTTAAATTAATCAAATCGGACACATAAAATAAGACGGGAAGGGTAATAATTACTCACAGGCTGTCTGAGAAGCAAGAGTGAGAAGATGATCGTCGAAACCAGAAGTGTGTCTCTGCTTCAAGCAGAAACAGCCCACCAGAAAACGCATATTTGGAACGCTGCAGATATTATACGTACACCTGCAAATCTGCAGCAGTAAAACATAATTAAGACACAAAACAATCTTAAAAAGTCTTGACGACAATGCAAGATTAAGTGAAACAAACATTAATCATTAATAGTAAAACCTTAATTGGCCTGGAAAGTTGTGGATTCTAATCTCATGATTAAACCCATCAAGAAATGGAGAGAGTTGTGATCTTCTACCATACTTGACCCTTCTCCTTCTCCATCTCCAATAACCCTCTATTTATTATTCCTTCTTAACATAATTTGTGGACAAGAAATGGAGAGAGTTTGAACATACCTTTTTGCCTTACCTTGTCAATTGTCATTGGTGACAATGGCGATATACATAATATAATGGTACACACGGTGTTGTTTGGTCGTAATCAGCATCGTCATTTCCCATAATGATGTCATCAAACTTGGAGTTTACTCACATCTCCCACTATCCCACATTTAAAAATGTTGTCATATATAGAGGAAGAATTCAAGGAGAACATAAAGTAAATGATTTTTTTTGTTTTTTGGCTAAAGTGTAATCTCGCACCATGAACAATTCCTTTGTAATTTAGGAAGATAGAAAAATACGTAAAAAAAATAATACCAATGTGTGAAAGAAGAAAAATACCAAAAAAAAAAAACTAATAAAAAAAGTTTATGTCAGCAATATTATTACTAGGAAACCTGTAAAAGGTTTTAGACGAAAAAAAAATTTTATGATTTATGACTCTAAATATCACTTATTAAAGATCATGGTGCGACATGAATAATTGGGAGTGGTTCATGATGCCAGACACACTTTAACCTTTTTTTTCTAAGAGCATCCACATTGGTTGGGAAGAATGGGGAGATAATGTAAGAGTGATTAGGAAAGAGAGTGTGGGAGAGGAGAGAAAAAAAAAAAGAAAAAACAAAACAAAAAAAAAAAATTAAAAAAAAAAGAAAGTAGTCAGACGCGTCAGGCGCGCCGACTGGCGCGCCTGACGCGCCTCCGGGCGCGTGCAGTGCACGCGCCCGGCTTTTGCCCAAGGCTGTGCGCGAACGCGCACAGCCTTGCTTCTTCTTCTTTCTCTTTTTTTTTTTTTTTTTTTTTTTTTTTTTTTTTTTCTGACAATCTCCCTACATTTGCAGGGAGATTATTTTTCAATTATCTCATGTCCACACTAGCTATTATCTCATGAAGGGAAGATTTAATTCTGAATTCTCCCCACAATATCCACAAGTGTGGATGGCCTAAGTAAATTTTTTTTTTTTGACAAATAAATGGAATTTTTAAATGTGGATAATTTATTTTTTGTTATCCTTGGGACATTGATGAATGATGACAAGCAGCAGCCAGCAGATGCCAAAATTAGTAGTTGACTTTGGTTTCTTTTGAAAGAGACATTAAATTGGTCTAATTACATTGTCTTCGTCCAATCTTTACTTTAATTGAAGTTTTTGTGATTGAGTTGATAAACCAATCGTTTCAATCGGATACAATTTATTTAAACGATATTTTAAACTTTAAAGAGTTTCAAATAATTCATTACTTCAACAACTATCTAAAATCCGCCGCACCCTTGTGGCCTTGTTGAATAGGGGTGTCAAGGTGGACCAAAACTCACGGGTCAACCCTAAACAGCCTCAAGGTAGGACGGTTTAGGACCTACTATACAATTTTTTGTCCGGACGAGCTGACCCGCGGACTTTTAATAAATTATATATATAACATTAAAATTTTTAACACAGTTTTTGTTCAATTTAATTAGTTAAAGATGGTAATATGACCGTTAACTTAGATAATGTGATGTTTCACATCATAATATTTAAAATTAATTATTTTTATCACTAGTATATTACATTTTTTTTAAACCACTAATATATTACATTAATTTGTCCAACATTCACATTGAAATTTGAACACTTAACTTATTGAATAACAAAAGCTACCCACTACCACTTTACTACAAACTCAACTTGTTATTGTATTGCAAAACATGCAAAATATATTTAAATACCATTATAAAATGTGATATGTAGAAAAAAAATTGTGTTAAGTTTTATAAGAAAATGAATATATTGATTTAAAAAATAATAATTTATGGTGATAAAAATTAACAATGAAGATTAAATTTTAATATTTTAATTTATTCATATTTTAAAATTTTTAATTTGCCATTTTTTGCTGCCACAAAGAGCCATCCGGCGCAACAAGTAGTATACCGTACGTAGCCTCGCCCGTGCCGTGACGGAAGCCTGCGTCCACGTAGCACCGAGGGCCGCCGCCACCCGGCTCGGTGGATGGTGCCAAAGCCGTAGCCGGCTGTGTGTGACCGTATTGGCCAGCAACGTATGCCTGCAACGTTGCGGCTGCCATCCTGCCAACCTCGGCAGGCAGCATCATAGACCCCTTCCAAACAGCTGAGTTGAGGATCCTCCAAATATGGTATAACACCGCTACCATCAACTGGGTTTGCTCCTCCGTCAAGACCACCAAAGCCCCTTTTAGCCATGTTGTAAAAGAGACTGCAATAATATTAGTTATAGGCAATTGTGTTATATTCCAAACAAGTGTAGAATATTTACAGAGCACTAAAGCATGTAACACATCTTCATGATCTAAAGCACACATTGGGCATATTGGATCCACCTCCACCCTCTTAATAATCAAGTTAGTGGTTGTGGGTAAAATATCACAAATGGCTCTCCACAAAAATGTCTTTCACTTAGGGGGGACTTTGAATTTCCACATTGAAATTCATTTATCAAACACAACTGGATTATTCTCATAGTCCTCAACAATTCGCTTATAGGCATTATTCACAGTATATGTTCCTTTTGGGTCACCCATTCAATACCATGAGTCCTCATAGTCAGGACTAACAGGGATCATACTTATCCGGTTCACATCCTCAGAAATACAAGTCAGATAAAATATGTGGATCCCATGTTTATTTCTCACCACTTATGGCAGAGGCACATGCATATAAGGAGGCACTGTCTTGGCTGCTTGAACGGAACTATACATCAGTAAGTCTACTCACGGATTTCATGGTATTGACTACAACTATGCGGCACCATGACACACCAATTCATTCGTATGTTGGGGTCACAGTTGATCAATGCAGAATACTTATGGCTTTATTTTGTTGTATTTCTTTAAATTATGTCTCTAGACAGGTTAATTTACATGCGCATACTTTAGTTTCTTTAGCATTTTCACAGGATCAAGCTATGTACTGGGATTCTATCCCCCTGACGCTATTGCGGCTTTGATTCATTAATACAATCGCCAGATTGATTTTCAAAAAAAAATTATTTTAAAATTTTTAAATTTTATATTAAAATACATGTCACTTGATTTTTCAAATAAAATAAATTAACATTTGTAATACATAAATAAAATTTTATTAATGTTAATATTTTTAATAAACTAATAGGTATTATGTATTTTAATGCAAAATATAAAAATCTCAATTATTAAAATATTTTATACTAAAATAAATTAAAATATACAATGTAATAGAGTCAGTGGCCTCTATTACATGTGGGAGGTCATGAGATCGAGCCCCAGTGGAGGCGTTGTTGACTCTGTGTGCTTCATTAGGTTGAGAAAGTATGTTTGAACACATATTACAATATAATAGAGTCAGTAACATTAAAAAAAATTAAAAATATTATAAATTTACGCAATATTATTATTTTTATTAATGAGAAAAGGGTTAAATAGGTACTTGAACTTTACTCAAAAAGTCAATTAAGTTCTTAAATTTTTAAAAGTTGTTATTAAATCCATAAATATGTTATTTCACTTATTTGGAATCATTGATGCCGAGAAACCGATTTATAATATGTAATTATAGGTTACCTAGGATTTCAGCGACTTTTTCGACAATAATCACTAGTAACCGGAGATCGTCGGGTCGTTGATTGTGTTTGAAGGAGGCGACCAGCTGGTCTGACTCCTCCTTCGCTGGAGAAGGCAACCAACTGGCTTGCCTTCTCCGACGAAATAGAAGGCAAACCACGTTTTATAAAAAAGTAGTATTACATGGATTCTCATTTTTTTTTTTAAATGTCTGGTTAATTTAGCATGTTTTGATTAATAATAAATTACAATTTGTATTCCTTTTATTTCCTTCTTTTAGTAAAATAAAAACATGTTATGATAATTTTACTTTCTAAGAGTTCACATACAATAACAGAGCCAAGCAACTAACTCAGAGTCATTCCCGATCGTGAAATCCTAGCGCCATTTATATTAAAAGGCTGAATCCCCAACCTTAAGGGCCCCCCACACTGGAAGGATGTAAATCACGGTGACTCAATGGGTTAGTAGGCAGGACCAAATGCCGATGCACATAAAAAACCTGTCCACTTTAGACATAATTCCCACACTGTCACTGCCAAGACTCGAACCTTGGTTTCTTACCCCAAATACTGCCCACTAGCGCCATTTATCTTTGAGTTAATAATTAACTGTTTAAACCAACCCCTAGAGGAGGATCGTACTTTACACACCTTTGATTGCTATCTAGTCCTAACATTTCTCTTGGTCATCAAGTGTCTAGCTTCTTTAGTTGTCAGATTTTAGCTCTCCTAACATTTCAATGAAGATGTAAAGCTTTTATGGCATGAAATTTAACGTCTATAGACTCAATCCGCAATTGAGGTTTCATACATGTTGAAACTGGTTTTCTACTCTTTTTTTGTTTTTGAAGAAGAACTGATTTTCTACTTATTACTCAAGTTCTCAATTCCCATTGAAGAAGACTCATTTATAGAAAAACTTCTAATAATTAATCATGACTGTGCATGTTAACTTAATACTCCGTATAACATTCGAGATACATATGATTACTAATTTGCATTTTGCATACACACTAAAATTTTATTTGCATTTTAAAAATGTAAATTCAATTATATTTTCGAAAAAATAAGAAGAGATATTCTACATTCTCTCTAAAATTCAGTACAAATTTTTTTTAAAAAATTTAGTTCTTACTCTTAAATTATATTTCTCAAATTTTTATGTGTACACTTTTCCTGAGATCTACATAAATTTTTTATGTGAACATTTTTCTGGAGACACATGTGATTACAAAAATTTTATCATTGTTTTTCACGTCAAAGAAAGTAGAACTCAAAAATTAGGGTTTATGCAATTATGCTCATGAACTGCTCACTGGAGTCACTGCTCACCTATGACTCTATGAGTCGTTTATAGCGTTATCGTTTTCGGCAATATCAATATTGTTGCCCTATCTGCTGCCTCTGCGCCACCGCTCTCTTCACCATTCGATCAAAACTAAAAATTCCATAAAATCAGAAAATAAATGCTATGATTATTTTTGTTCTTGAATTTTACAGCAAAGCAAACGCGGGATTTGTGGTTAAAAACCGGCATCCTTGAGTGACAGAGCGAGTAGTGATAGTGTTACTTGAAGTGGCAGTGTGAGAGAGATGGTTGAGGCGGTGGCTATGGCGACCAGGGAGAGGCAGGGCGGCGCGTCGATGATGGAGCAGCTGGTGCCGGAAATCATGACTCACGCGCTCAGCTACTTGGACTATCCCAGTCTTTGCCGGTTGTCGATGACGAATTCGCTGATGCGGAAAGCTGCAAACGACGACAATGCGTGGAAGGCTTTATACCGTAAGGTCCATTTCTTTCAATAGCTTTCTAGCTTTTTTGTTTGGTTTAGTTACTGAATATTTATTTGTATGTAAACTGTTCATATCATATATTCATATTTTATTTACCTAACTTCATTAAATGCTCAATGATGATAAGCATGCAAATCTTAGCTTTATCCTGGTAAATTAATGAATATGTGATTGTAATTAAGCGAATTATGATAGATTTATGTTGACTAACATGTTTTTTTATTATCCAAATTTGATTGTTTTACTTGTATGAATCCTTTAGCCGTGTAAATAAAGTTTTACTACTTTTTCTGTTGGGGAATTCATTGGATTGATAGTTTGAATAAATGAATCTTTTGCTTCTAGGATTTCACATTTGAGCAGGATAGTGTGACTCCTGTTAAGGGATGGAAAGCTTACTATGCGGCTACCAGAGCCATTCTGAAAATTAATGCCGAGTTTTTTAAGATCATTAAGGAAAAGTCGACCCTTGCAATGAGCCGGATTTGGCTCAAGGTAGATTATGTGAAGTGCTTTCATGGAAGTGGAGAGTTCTTTACAGGGTAAGAGACATTACATCTTTTCAAGAGAAAAGCTTTTTAGTTCCTTTTTGTAATAAAAGGAATGCAGCAATGTGACTTGGAAGTTGGAACATTTTGGTTAATACAACAGAGGGATAAAATGCATGGGAGTTTCGTTTTTTAGGAAAATCTAACTTTGTAATACTGTCTGAGATCTTAATCTGTTGGAGGAATTTATTAGAGTGCAAGAGATGGTGACGAAATGTTATACTGACATACTCTGCTATGCTAAAATAAGCTACAAGGGATGTGTTTTGCTTGTGGAGGATTTCAATACACACCCATACATTTTTATTTTTTGGGATTACGAGAGAAATCCACAGGGTATGCACTGGGTAAACCCTGCCTTGTGACCCTTGCCAGCAAAGGACTACAAGGAGTTAAACCAACTTAGGTTGTTCATAACTGAGTGGCTCAAATCAAGAAGGCTAATAGGCCGCATCCGTTGGAACTAAGTCAACAACTTGACTAACTTGGCTGGGGTTGCCCCACACCCATACGTTTTTGAATGGATGTTTTATGTTTTTATTGCTGATCATGGTTTAAGCAATTAGTGACTATATTATACTCCATACCTTTTGTTGATGCAGATATGATGCAGTTGTGGAAAGCTGGCAGCCCATTTTGAACTGGGAGCAAAGTGCAGATTTCCAGATACGAGACGTGAGGGCAAGGGTACTAACCGATGTTGCTTGGGTTACTATGAAAGCTTATCTTCATCAAGTGGGACTGAGAGCATTTTTTGTCACTAACGTTTTTGAATTCCATAATGGAAGGTGGTACATGGTGCATCATCACTGTTCTGTGATGCTCTCTCATGGAGGTCCAGTGCAACAACTTATCCAAGGATAACTTACAAAGCAGCAGTTAGGAAAGAGGATGACAAGACTCATAAAACTAGAATGTCTTAAAGATATTATTAGTTGTATTCTTGTTCAATTCTAATCTTGTAAATACTATGGTTTTATTCACCAAACATGTCTTGTCAAAGACATTAATTGTTATGAAATTGATTGTTAATGAAGCTGGGAAAATGTATTATTCTCTGTAATACACTACAGGTTTTCTGAAACAATTTTTCAGGTCAGTATTTAAGCATTAAAAGGAAGGATGAAAATGAAAAATGTCTTTGTGAATGAGAGGCTGTATTGTAATTACAAAGACTTATATTGCATTTTATTTTTTAATATCTCAGCTTTCCCCTGGCTGTTCTGTTATCTCTTCTGTGTGGCTCTCCTATACTGACAGTGAAGTGAGGCGGGGAGAGAGAATGTCCACCACCGCCATGGCCACCGTCACCGGAGGAAGCGCCGCCGCCCTCCACCCAGTGCCAAAACCACCGACCAGAGAATTTTTGGTATTGGCACCGAGGCAAATTCTGTACAGACGCAACAAGTCATTGTCTTTCTCCATTAGCTATGGCGGAAACCCTAAACAAGAGCCGCCGCCGCCGTCGTCGCCGCCGGTTCTCTGTGCTTCTTCAGCATCTCCAACACCTCTCGCCGAAGAGGAAGAAGAAGTAAAAGAAAGTGGGTCTTCCGCTCCCCCCGAGGATGGTGTTGTTCTTTCCACACTCATTCAAGATTCTGACTCGTTTCTTTCTCCAGGGTATCTATCTTTTCATCCCTTATTTTATTGGATTCTCTAGCTATTGCATTCAAGATTTATCACTTACATTTTTTCTTCTTTGGTTATTTGCTTCCTGCATTTACTATCCAAACATTTTATAAGTAAAGGATTGGAGTATGTGTTTCGTCACGACTAAAAGAAAACTGATTAATTACCCATAGCTGATTAACTCAAACCAAGAAGGTCAATAGGCCGCTCCGGTTGGGAGTCGAACCTGTAACCTTGTGATTAGTGGTTACCCATTAACTGTTTGACCAACTTGTTGAAGTTGTCCTATAGTTTATATATTATATGCTCAACATGATGGATGATGGGTGTTTGATTTGCTTCAAAACATCTCTGTACTGAACTAAAATCTCCAAACTTGATCCTTGGTTCTTGCCAAGATCCAAGCATGAGACTCAAATTTAAGTACTATACTTCTTGATGCCCACATTTCATGTCAAACACTATAACAATCTTGTGCGAGGTTATCATATTACCAATGCAAGAAGCACTATAAATGCTGGCGAACAAAACCGGTTCATAGGAAATACACTTATGCAGAACCTACTAATGCTATTTCAAGATTGTATTGATATGCTTGTTTGAATGTGTCCACAGGGCTTGCAAGGCCTGTGGGAAAGAAGTCGTGGAGAGTGGTTGTAATGGCGAGGGAAGGATTCAAGGAGGGATCGCGACAGTCCCAGGATTTGGTTGGTGGCCGATAAAGGCATACAGGCCTTGTCCTGCATTTGTGGCTTCTGGTGGTAGGTATAGGCGAACTGGACAAAGCATGGATGAAGTCGTCTCCGGGGGAGGAGAAAGAGCCAATGCTGCAGGAATCAACGACGATGCTCAATCCAGGTAGAGCCTTCCCCGCAATTGAAAAACGTGTTTTGTTTTAACTAAAAGTTCAAACTGATAGTAATACTACACGCTTATGTTTTACACCACGTGATCTCCCATTTTACTTTCTTTAGCTTCTTGTTCAGTACATTCCCATTGTCCAGTGTTCCACAGTTGAAGTGTTAAATATGTTGTGTGAGTGACTAAGGGTACGGTAGGTTAGCGTACCTGAACCCTCAGGCGAAATCCCTCGTCCCAAGGGCTCCACATCCTGACCATTGACATGATGATTTTTGTAAATGAGCAAGTATCACCTTGTTTGGTATACTTTGAACCAAAAGTTGAATTAATTAAGAATTCACATGTAAGCTAGTTCTTCATAAACTATCTTTTTAACATATCTCCATCCATAAAATAAAAGTTCAAGAGGTGTACTGCTACTTCTATTTTCTTTTGTGTTCCGCTTTTTTCTGTGTTTTTCTCTCGTTTGTGTGACGAGTTTGTTTTCCTCTCGTTTCTTTTGGCGAGTTTGTTTTCCTCTCGTTTCTTTTGGCGAGTTCTTTTCTTCATAAGTGTGAAACATATAAATTGGTCATGGCGTATGTGAACTTTATCTTGGGTGACAAAGATGACAATGTAAAGGAGCATCTGCATCTCAGTTCGATGGATATATTGTCAATGAACGACAGATGGAAAACATATGCTCAGGTAGTGTGCAAGACTTTTCAACCAAAGTTAGTCTTGACTACGTTTGATCAATTCTTCAATGATATTAAAGAAGCGTTAAATTCATCTAACGAATTCAACTCCAAATTTGTGAAACAGTCTGCGATGCAAGTTCTTTGTAGTATTGCTAGGGAAGTTGTTTCTATGTTTGACTGTAAGGAATGGTATACCATTCTTTCGATCCTATTTGTAATTGCTTCAGCATATGATTAAATGGATGAGCTTATTTATTTAAAAAAAAAAAAAAAACATATCTCCATCCATCTTTGCAGCAAGAAGAAGGAAGGAGCAAGAAAACTCAAGAGGTGACAACATACAGAAGCTTGTTTGCCCTGATCAGAGAGACTGCCAAAGATAATACAACATAGGTTTGTACTTCGAGATTCAGGGTTTAGATTAGTGATAAGAAATATTTTTGTGCATACATTTGATTTGAGTTTGGAATAATACGGTAAGTTCCTATCTAGGTAAAGAAAATATTTAATATATCATGGATGCATAAAATGCTGTCACATGGTTGCGATATTTCAAAGATTTTGTAATGTGCAAAGTGATAAATGTGAATATGTGATAGAGATTTTAAGGTCATCATATGTTGAAGAGAGTTTTGGTAAATAGTTGTTAGCTGATTGAGTTAGTTGATTTGACTAGTTGTTAATATTAATTGATTGTAGAACAAAATTTGGTAAATTAATTGTTACTGATAGCTGATTACATGCAAAATAATTTTCTCAAAAAGTTGATCGAAAAAGCTATTTTGAACAGTTTTTTGAATTCTCAGTATTTTGGAGTAATAAACTGTTACGAAAAACTAATTAATCAAACACTCATATTGAGTGTTTAACCAACTTAAACAGCTAATAGTGGTCAAATAAGTCAAAATTAATTGATAAGCTAACTATGTTATCAAACATGGCCTTAATCAATCAAAAATTTTAAATGTAATTTTATTTCACACTAGTTGAAAGTGTAAATCGAGAGTTCTTTGTTTATTTAAGATGGATTTAGTATTTTATACTACGTACAGGTATAAATGAAAGTTAACTATTTTAAGTTTTGAACTTCACAAGTAAATACGGAGTATTTTGTAATATAAATATAAATTTTAATTATTAAAATAATTAAATATATTGGGCACATTAAGTAGGTAATGTTTTTAAAGTTTTCCCCGAATTTGTACTCGCTACAATGTTCTATTCTTGGCATCTATCACTAACTCACCACCTAATGTTTTCCAACACATTCAAGAAAAATGGTAGCAGAAACTCCTAGAGTGGATGCAAATTGTTAACCCTAACCAAATCTTAACAGAAAATGGCTTGTCACTATAGCTAAATCCAGCATTTTTCCTCCTAATTATGGTGTATAGTGGATTTAATCCTTCAATCGTTTGTGGATGTGCTTTTAGTCTTCTAAGTACATACAGATTTGTATTTGTGAGTATCTTCTTATATGAATTCTCATATATAAAAACTTGTTCTAAGAGAAAACTAAGAATCAATATCAGGAGTCAATCTGGGCAAATCTAGACAATGATGAAAAATATTGACGATATTTTGGTAAATAACTCAAATTTTAAAGTACATTTTATAATATTATAGGGTGAACTTTGCAACACCATAAATACATTCAGTGTCATGTGAATGTGCACTCTGTAGCGTTGCTAAGTGTATTTTAAAGTCATGTGAAAAGTAAACTATGTAGTGTTATAAAGTATATAATGTTGTGTTACGAAGTGCACTTTAATGTTAGAAAATTATTAAACGTCAGTTTTTTTTTTCGCTATGATTACTTCAATCCTGCTAGATTTTTATTTTTTAAAAAAATAGACTGTTGAGCTTAATTCTTAATTTTCTTCTAAAAATAAGTACTCACGTGAATATACTTATGTGTGTGTGCGTGTTCAAATGCGCCGCTGGTTTCTCGTGCGGTCATGCAAACATGTCGGAAGTGTAGGATGAAATCAAATCAGACGGATGAAATCAATACATATGACGAAAAGTGCAAGACACAATTTTGTCGACAATGTATGTTTCAGTGGTGCACTAAGTGATGTTGAGTGGTGTACTAATGAGTGCTCTATGGTGCATGACCAAGGGGTTGAAAATCAATCAAAGGGAAAAAACGTGGAGAAATTTTTGTAATTTTGTGTACCATGTATATTTCGGTGGTGCAATAAGTGCTGGTGTATGATGCACTTATAAGTACACCATAGAGCACTCGTAATTGCACTACATACCAGCACTTAGCACATCACAAAATTACAATTTGTATATTTCGGTGGTGCACTAAGTGTTGGTATGTGATGCACTTATGAATGATCTGTGGTGCAGGACCAAAAAAAAAAAAAAAAAGAAAAAATGCAGTGAATTTAATTGACTCATTGAGTGGTGCAATATTAAGTGCACCACGTATCATTCAAAATGCACCACGAAACATTCATAAGTGTACCAAACACTAACACATAATGCACAACCGAAATATAAATATTACTGAAAATTATAAAATTACCACCGCATATTTTTTATTCTTTATTAATTTTTATCCGTTTGATCTCAACTCATCCTACGATTCTAATATCTTTGCACAATCACACAAAAAAACAACGCCGCACTAAAGAATGGAACTATTTATATATACATAGTTCCATACAGAGTTGATGCGTTCCTTCAGTTTTTTTTTTTTTTTTTTTTTTTTTTTTTTTTTTTTTTTTTTTGGGTTCAACGAGACATTGTCAATTGTTGCCACCAAAATCAAACAAGTGTAACTTGTTTAACTTTTTAACCTTTTTGACTTGTTCTTGCTAGCTTTTTATCTCAGAATCCTTTTTAATTATTTTAATTTTTGCTTTAAAGGTACACAAGGCTATCCACATGAATTCCTTTTTCCACCTTTTGGTACCCCACTAATTGATTAAAGTTAATTATTGAAAATTTATGTGTTGGAATTGGACAACAAAAATAAAATAAAATAAAAGTGAAGCATCTCAGAGAATATTTTTTCTGTATGTATACTTCAGTAGTATAGCTCTTTATGCTAGCAAAAGATTCCCCACCTCAAACACTCAATCGTAATTAATAAAAATAAAAATAAATAAAAAAAATATACCTAATGTTTATCGAATCCAGTTCTTGCTAACACTCTTTTGATTGAGCTGTCACACAAATTAAAGTCTTTTTAGTACGATTTACTTTTTAGTGTAATTTACGACCTATTATATAGGAGCGAAGTTTACCCGATGTACACCCTCGGATAGTAGTTGTCGATTTCTCTTGCAACCATAAAAATAAAAATTGCTAACATGAATGTGTTTTATGGGTGGATATTCCCTATTTTATATCAAATATCTATTTTTAAATTTTGTGAAAATATCATCATTATATTATAACTTATAATGCACAAAAAATTTTGAGGCTAACGTTTTCCTCTTACAAATGACAACAAAAATAGTACAATGTCTCAATTTAACTATTCTTGAGCCTAAATACATTTAAAATCACTTGAACATCCTCACCCTATTAGTTAGACTGTTGACTTGCTAACCACAAAGTTACAAGTTCGACCCTCAGCAGGAGCGATCAATCGACCTTCTTGGTTTAAGCCGGTCAACTATGGGCAACTTATAATATGGTCAAAAATCACTTGAACATGAATGAATTGAACATTCCAAACCTATTTGACACTACCCGTAGGCTACTCGAACATGTTGGATATACATAGTTAAACAACACTAACACACACTACCTGCTACCAGTTACCTAACCCTGACCTCAACCCATAACAAATTCATACCTAGTTATGAATTACCTTAAACCTATCTTTTTAGAGTTCGAAAAAGTCAAGTACCCAATATTACTCAGATCAATCAGTTGTCATCCATATATTTTTTTTAAAAATTTTAGAAACATTTTGACACTCGAAACTCATATGTAAACGTTTATATGCTTTTTGTTAATAGAGCAAAAATTGGTGATTTTCATACCACACGGAGTTAGACAAATTAAAAGTTGGCATCTATCATTATTTTACCTAATGCCCATGCCAAAATGACAAAGCCTTACCCTTGAACCTGTTAGATGACTGATTCAACGCACCAAGTGACGAAGACTTACGAGGCATCACAAATAAAGAAAACGTCTAATATGGTGCAATAGACAATACGACGTGCCACCAAAAACAGGCTGAGAAATATTAAATGCGACGCCCAAACCACCACACCTATATACATACATATTTATCACTTTGACACCACCACCCAAACCACCAACGACTTTTTTCTCCATAATTTAATGTACCGTACGTGACCCATCTCCATTGCTTTGTCCCAAAATGCTGACATTTTTGCTTGGAATGAAGGAGTGTTTGAGCATAATTATTATATTTTAAATGTCACGAATTTGATTATTGTCAACAATCTTATGGTTAAATTATTCGCAAGGAGTGTGTTGAGCATAATTCAGTTTTTTGTTTAATTTGATTATTAAAATTTGGCTCAATTTGATTTATAACAAAAACAAAATATATAGAATGAGACAGTAAATAAATTTTGTGTAATATAACTTTTTTTTTAATTGTTTATCTGTCAAATTACTCATAATTCTTTAATACATGAGTCACCTAGGAAAAACTAATTTTGTATTAGAAGATTGATCTTTTAAAAAGTAACAATTATATAACACCTAATGTCATCATGACAAGTTCATTCTTGACTATAGTGCCGTTTTAGTTGGCCCAACTCAAAATTCCATTGATTGAGTTGTAAAGAAATGATACATTATTCACCTCAAAAAGCATGCACAATGAAATCTTAGTTGATAACAGTGTATAAAGAAATAAATTAATCTAAATTAGATCTAATTAATCTATTTTTAAAAAAGTCAATACACTACTCTGATTAGGAGCTAATAAAATTATTTTGCATCTATTCAATAAAAACATTAAATTTATTGTCACTCAAAATTTTGAACATTTTCACTTGAAAAGGAAAATGGAAAGTTGATTGCACGAGCTTAACTCATTAGTCCAGTAGATAATATTAGGGAGAAGAGACCAAAGTTTAAATCTGAGCAGCGACAGTAAGAGAATTATGTGTAAAATGAACAAATCCCTCGTGCACATGACATTTGACCATATTTACTTAATCTGAGTCACGTAATTGAAATTTAAATATTCTTAAATGCTCTTTCAAACCAGGCTGGAGATTAAACCTTTTGAAAGAAAGGAAAATGGGAAGTCGAGAGTGAAAGAAACACAAAGCATTTATCACTTCATTTAGTGTGACATAGATTGCATAACCACATATATAGTAACACCATTACTTATTAACTTTGCTCTCCACGCAAAAAGCTTCACAGTATCATCATCATCATCATCATATAGTATATGTAATATGTACAAAAAACATCCTCATTTGCTACGAGCAATCCATGAGATTACAACTACACTTTGTCTTTCTATTCCTAAACATCTTCTTTTTCTCTTCTTCCTTCACACTTCTCTCCAGTTTATTGTCATTCGCATTATGCTCTGATACGGCTATGCCCGTTCAAGCGTTAGTCTCCGTGAAAGTGTCCAAAAGAGATAGCGTCTGCAAATTAAAATCAAGCCACGATAGACGTTACAATCTTAGCTCGACGAGCTAAATAGCGTGCAGTTCGTTTATATGTGCAAATGGGAAAAAAGGGTAATGTAATTAATCACCTCAGGAATGTTTAGCTCAAGGCGGAATTTAGGACCATCGTAGTGGTGAAGGATCGGCCTGAAAGAATCCTCCTCGAGAGGTTCACACACTTTCCTCGTGACAACACGCACCTGAATATATGTACAGATCAGTCGAGAGTTAAAGCCAAGCCACGAACATAATAACAATTAATCACAACGCGTTAAGCAATTCAGTTTCGGGTTATACCTGAGCAGGAAAGCGTGATTCGCCTTGGTTCTTCTTGTCCTCCCAAGCTGTGGGATCAATGTTTGTGCCACCAAAGCTTGCAGCCTGAACAATTCGAACCCCGTTTTTTATGTCAGTAAAAGAACTCCAACCCGATATATCAAGAAAGACATTCATTGACCTAAGACGAATACTAAACCAACCTCAAAAACTCCGTGAAGCTGGTGGGTCGAGTAGTTATAGAGGAAAAGAGGCAATCCGGGTGTGATTTGCCTGACTGAGTCACGATAACGAGCTGGCAAGCCTGAAAGTAGCGAGAAACAGAAGAAGCTAAGATTCCACTACAGAAGTACAACAAAAGATTGAATTGTTGTTATAAATTCTCAGAACAAAATACTATTCCTTTTGACCTAGATTCCATCTCATATATGCTTGGTGGTTTCACATCTAGAACTACAAAACCTTAATAATCTACAGATGATTATGATGAGCATTTAATGGATCTGATCAATCCAACCCTGCAAAAAAGTGCCATCCTAACAAAACCACTCTGTTGTGTAGAACATCATTCTACCTTATCAATGATATTCCAGTTTGACAAACAGCAAACAACCTCAGCTTCTAGGAATCTACTTATTCTAGAAGAAATCCAACAAATAACACCTAGAAATTACAGAAATTTAATCCTTGGTTCATCCATATATGTTTCTTTTATTTCGATTGATTAGATTTCCAGCTTATGTTAGACTAATCTAAGTCCGAGAACCTGCCTTTATGATCCTCACCTTGCCGCTGAAGCAAGACTTTAGGATGATCAATCGAACCAATTCATAATCTTAAAGACTAAAACTCTCTAATTGTATCAAAAATCCTAGGATGCTAGTAAAAATTAAATGAGGAAAATTGTGATAGAAATGGAGAGTACTTACCAAAGAGCTGTCTTTTGAGATTTTCTTGCATGGTATCATTGTTGCAGACAAAGATGTAGCCTCCGACAGTCTCGTTTCTGGGCAGGGCTTCTGCGGGTGGAAGAGTCTTGAACCTCTTATCCACTGCATTATTTTTGTCTCCATTATTGTTGTTATTGTTATCCTTGTTAACGTTTTTGTTCTTTTTTCCAGATTTCCCATGTCCATATGCATGCTCCTCGTCAAATCCGAACTTCCCAAGTTTCTTGTTCATGTTAAAGTTAACCCCTTTGCCATTCACCGCCACATTGTTACTCCCTTTACTGTAGGAATTGAAGTTCATCGCCGCCGGGGTGGGATAAATCCCCTTGTTAAACCCGCCGTTCAACCCCACTCCGAACACCCCCTTCGCCGCCGACGACCCGGAAATCGAGCTGATCTCGTCGGAGACCTTCCACCCATCATTACTGAACAGATTATAATTGGATTTGAAATTATTGACCTGGTTATTGGTCGCCGTCGCCGTCGCCGCGGCGAGGGCGGCGTTGTCGTTGACTGAATTGACCTCGAAGTTCCGCCTCTCCTCCGGCCGCTTGGACCCGTAGCTAGTACTCCAAATGGAATCGTTGAGGGACAGATTCGCCAGGCTGTTGGCCTGCAGACGGAGCTCGTCGCTGAACTGCCAGAAAGACGACTGCGTGTTCTCCATTTCTTTTCCTCTGTTGAACTCGCCGGAAAATCAAGAAAACGCCTAAAGATTGAATTTTTATTTTTAATGTGGAAATTAAACCAACTATAAATGAAGATGGAAGACAGCGGGTGATTGTGATATATATATATAGCGAGGCAGGATTGGTGATGGGCGAAAGAAGCTTCGAGGAAAGAGGGGAGAGTAGCGTGTTGGATTGTCAAAGGAGAGCTTAGCAGAGTGGAAAAAACAATACACAAAAACACTGTAATAAAGAAGAGAGAAAATGAAGGTTAAAAATGGTGTTTTGTGGGTGTTTTAGGTGAGCGAAAAGGAAAATGGTGACGGCAAAAACGCGCTTTGAGAAACTGTAGTGCGGACTGGGACAGATAACGACACCGACAACCTTAAGCGCTCCGTTTATCACGCGGTCATGTTCCTCACTGGTCAGTTTCTGTTTCTTATTGGCTCCAAAATTTTACGGAGTAAATTAATAAATATCCGCTATAATTATAGTCAAAATTTTTAATGCAATGAAAATATATATTAATTGAATAATGTTCTCCATCATAGAGTTACATTAAAATCTGAATGAAAAAAGGAAAAATTTTAATTAATTTTATCATATTACTTAACCATACTTTTTTCAACTTAATATGAATTTTATAAAAAAGTGTATTTAAATATGAGGATATGTGGTATTGGCATGGAGACCCGAGAGAAATTATACTGTCAAAAGTGGCTACAAAGCGGTTGTGGGTAACCTCAATAATAATATGGGTACTGATAATTATTGGTTACGCCTATAGAAATAAAAAATCTCCCAAATGGAAAACATTTTTATGGAAGGTTTTGAGTGGTATCCTCCCTACTACAACAAACTTGATTATAAGGAGAGTGGAAATACAACCAAACATGTGCTATGTGTGGGATGATGGATAAGACACAATGCATGCTTTAGTAACATGTGGTTATGCAAATTCCATTTGGACTCAATCTCACCTTTCAATCCCCATGATAACAACAAATATTTTTCATACTTGGTTTAGTGATCTATTGAATATTTTAGACACTAACCAAATTATTCACGCAGCTGCAATCTTATACTACATTTGGAGGGCCAGAAACGGAGCGGTATGGGATGCATGTTTACCGCGACCACAGAAAGTATTAGCCTCGGCCAAAGCCACGACACTTGCGTGGCAACATACCCACCCGAGTCACCGCCAAGCAAACCACCAAGCTGCTGCACAGCAGCCCATTGCTGCCACTGCCGTGACACAGCAGCAGCAGCAAGGGAACACTGCCGAAGCCGTGGTGGCAGCCCAGGGGACTGCACAGCCGGAACCTCCTATGCCGATGCGGAAGTGTTATTTCGACGCTGGTTTTTTGCCTACCACTGGAAAAGCCATGGTTGGCGCAATCTTGATGAGCGAGGAAGGGAAATATATCTCGGCATTCAGTGCACCCTTGTCGGATTGCTTCTCCCCACTTATGGCTGAAGCAATAACATGCAAAGAAGCCCTGTCTTGGTTATGGAATCGTGGGGAACGCTCTGTACGCTTGTTCACAGATTGTTTAACACTACAGCAATACTTGTCAAACGCAACGGCCTCACTTCGGACCTACGTTGGCTATGACATTGATGCTTGCAGAACACGCATTATCTCTTTTGATTACTGCTCAGTTAGTTTTATTCCTAGATCGGAGAACTACTTAGCTCATAGTTTAGCTGCTTCTGCATTTATTTATTCTACTGTTATGTATTCGGATGATGTCCCTCCAGACTCTATTTCAGAATAGTTTGAATAAATGCCATACTGGCCTCCTTTCAAAAAAAAAGACTATTCTAGACTGAGTTTTTTTTTTAAATGATAAATATTTTTAAATTTGATATTAAATTACTAATTTTAATAATTTAACACTAATATATTCCTCTTTTCTACGGAGTAGAATAGGTCAATTCTACGGAAGATATATATAATAATACGTATAAATATGGATATGCTTGTTTATGCACCAAGTCTTAAAACTACTTTGATCATAAAATCAGTGGAAGATTCTAACTTCTCAAGAAAAAGACTATTATGTATCTTATTCACAAATGGAAATATGTTACAATGCACTTCCGCTATGACTTTTACGATAATTTTTTTTACGGGTTTTGATATATTTAAAACTAATCTAAATTTAACTTAAATCATGCTAACAGAAATAAATGATAATTTAATTTTTTGTACAGCATAATTTTAATATTAAATTAAATAATTTATTTCGTCTTAACTATAAAATTAAACTGATACATACATATTATATACTCAATATTTATTATATATTAAAGGTTGAAATTATAAGTTAGATGTAAAATTTAGAGAAAATACAGAGACATGATATTATGGTTTATCTAGAAGGTGTGGATATCCAGAAAATGGCAATTCAACGGAAGAAGGTGGTGAGTTCACACTTGAAGGCAGGAATTTGAGGACACTTTACTTTACTTAGCTGCTAAGGTCGGAGGAGATATATAGCATGTAATATGTGGTGTGACCACTCACTCACACGTGTCCGTGGTTGACGGATTCAACTGTCCACTTTCCATCATCTATATGGGACTAACTCTATTGGGCTTGGACCACACCGTTCATAGCCCAAAACGATGATACAAAATTAGGGCAAATTATATCATGTACCGAGCTCCAAAACGACGTCGTTTTGTTTAATGAAAAGAAATGACACTCGTTTTGTGCTGTTCCGCAAAAAGTAATTATGTTATTCAGTTTCATTTTGTATACACTGTAATTTCAGTTCAACACAATTACAGTTTCATTTCGATATAGCTACAATTTCATTCGACATTTATACACTCAAATATATGAAAATGTTATTTAATTTTATTTTATATACACTATAGTTTCATTAAAACATAATTACATGATCATTTCGATATAACTACAGCTTCATTGTACAATTTCATTTTATATACACTGTAGTTTCATTTTGATATAACTGCAATTTCATTTGATAATATATAAAATAATACGTGAGGTAGTTTCGATTTAGATACACTGTAGTGTCAGTTTAGATACACTATAGTTTCAGTTGGTAATTAACACACCAAAAAATGCGCACTCCGTTAACAGTAACAGCTTGACCACGGTGCACGTGCACTGCGGTCCACAATATAACGACTGCAAAATTAGATGAAGTCTTGACCAATCCTTATACCATGGACCAGGGTTCACAACGTACCGCAAATTATTCTATGGACTTGGGTCCACCTTACAAAGTGGACTCGTGTTTAACTTCACAATTTACCTACTAAATATTCACAATTTACCGTTTAAAATTTCACAATTTGTATACTACGAACAAATAATGTTAACATGTATATAATTGATTACCTTGTTTGTTATTCACAAGTTCGAGTTAATACCATCTGAGGTCCTCCGAGTATAGTGGTTTTTCCACATTTAGTCCTAAACTTTCAAATTGACCATCTGTGGTCCTTCGACTTTCAAATTTAACCATTCGTGGTCTTAGTTAACTACCCATGGTCCTTCAAATAATGTAGTCACACAATAATGATAATATTAACATATTAGGATTTGATGATCTCGTATTGTATTCACAAATTTCTTTTGTTTTGATTTAAAAACAAAATTTATATTCTAAAAGTTCACAATTCCAATACTAAAAATACACCACTCTCACAATGCACACCCTAACAAGTGGGACTCATTGATATTGGTAGTTTTTTTTTTTTTTGAATGTTACTGGCTCTATTACATTGTAGTATCTGTTCATATACTTTCTCAACCTACTAAAACATAAAGAACCAATAACACCTCCTCCACTGAGGCTTGAACTCATAACCTTCCAAATGAAAATCCAAGTCGGGTACCATTAAATCACATAGTCTTGATAATTAAGTAAGAAGAAATATTATATTTTTTTTAGAGAAAAACATTTTGTCAGCTAAAAATGTTTTATGTTAACAATGTTCATAGTTTCACACGCTCACTTGATTGCAACCAAAAATAATAATAATAGTAGTAATAATAATGATTAACCCAATGACTTGGGAGTTTCCACTTTGCTTAGCCGATGATTTGGTGAATTGGCATGCACTAAATAGAAAATTATAAGATATGTTTTAATTGTACGTCAAAAGCTCTATAACTATGATTTCAATGCGATGAACTTTAATAAAGGTTGTTAGAATTTAAAATAAAAATATATATATATACTTTGAGTGGAGTTAAAGTCTACATGTCACAAAATGAGTAATCAAATGAGTAAAATATAATTCTCGTACCTAAAATTTACAAATTTAATAATCGTATTTTTTTATTAGAATTAATTATCTCATTTGATTATTTCTAACAACACATGATCATCAACTACTTTTCAGCTTTTAGCTAGCTTTTTAGTTAGGTTTGCCAAACATAACCTTAGAATTTAGGTGAGCTGAAACATTCTTTTTGTAAGCCATGTAACACAACTATTATGTATCATGATTTATATCATAAAAATAAATAAATGTTTTTATACAAGCAAGTTTAATTGGACTCCAATTGACAAATCTCTTTTTTAATTTTACAAGGTTTAAATTTGAGATTTTGTTTAATGTGAACCAAACTTTAACACTTAAATTACATCATTATTCACAATGTATGAATTTGAGGCTTTGTTTAATAGAAACCAAATTTCTCACATTTAAATTACATGTTGTTGGCAAGATAGACAAACATTTTGATAGGTAAAACTGTATACTCTCCATTGCATTTTATGTGTTGGGTTTGATTACCGAGACTTGACTGAAGTTATTTATAACTTAATTTTTCATAATATTATATTTAGAATTAGTATGTAAAATTTATATGTTTAGAAACTACATTAAAAGTACTATTAAACACACACACACACACACACAAAACAATCAAATTTAAAAATTATTTAGAAGATGTTAATAAAAATAAGCATGGAAGAAAGAGTTGATTTGACCAATAAATAATATATAAGACAGATAAAATAGGACAGAGGGTACGTTGTTAGATATCTCAAGAAAATGGTGTTGACCCAGATCATGAGGTTGTTGGCTCATCATAGGACATACAAGTTTGACATGAATCATAGGTTGAAGAAAATGAGGAGACAAGTTCAATTTTGGTTCCATAATTGTATTTTGTGATAAAATCAATTTCCCGTCATTTAATTAACTTTTTTTGGATTAAAATTATTGACTTTGAGAGTAGAGTAAATACCCAAAATGGTCCTTCAACTATAGCTAAATTCACAAATTGATTCCCGACTTTTAATTTTAACCAATTAAGTTCTTAACTTTGTAATTTTCACACGATTTGGTCCTTCGAACACTTCTGCATTAACGCCCGCGCCCGCGTCGTCATCGACGATCTCCAAAAGAACCTGCAGCTCTCATCGGAGCACATGGAAGCCTCCAGGATGACGCTGCACCGGTTCGGAAACACATTGTTTTCTTCACTCTGGTACGAACTCAACTACATTAAATCCAAAGGGAGGAAGAATAAAGGCGACATGATTTGGCAGATTGCTTTCGGCGGTGGATCCAAATGTAACAGTGCGGTCTGAAAATGCAACCGAAACCTTAAAAAATCGACGATGGACCATGAAATTACATATATATCCTCAAAAATCACAGTCAACAAACGGTCAAATAGACGGATGACCAAATCGTGTTAAAATTACAAAGTTAAGGACTTAATTGGTTAAAATTGAAAGTTAAGGACCAATTTGTGAATTTAGCTATAGTCGAGGGACCATTTTGGGTATTTACTCTTGAGAGTATTATGCAACTTCTTTTTGGATAAGAGGAGAGATAAACTCGGAATCAATATTATTAATTTTCATAGTAATTCTTCTTGGTATTGGGAATTCTGACTGAATCTCCATCAGAGCATCTACACTAGTGGATAATATGGGGTTAATTAATGTAAGAAGAAATAACTTGGGTGGGGTTATTTATAGATGGGAATAAGGGTCAAATAGGCCATCGAACTGCACACGATAAAACAATTAGGCCACTGAACTTAAAAAATCAACAATTGGGTCCCTAAACTAATCAATTTCAAACAATTCTTCCAATTTGAAGGTTTCCAACAGGTCAACAGGTCATCCTTCCAAATTAATTATTTTTTAAAATTTAAATTTTAAAAATTAATTATTTAAATTAAAAAAAAAAAAAAAAAAAAAAAAAAAAAAAAACTGGTTCCAGCCGGAGACGACCCGTCTCCGGCTGGATTCCAGTTTTTTTTAAATTTAATTTAAAAATAATTAATTTTTAAATTTTATTTTTTAAAAAAAAATAATTAATTTGAGAGATGACCTGTTGACCTGTTGGAAACCTTCAAATTGGAAGAATTGTTTGAAATTGATTAGTTTAGGGACCTAATTGTTGATTTTTTAGGTTCAATGGCCTAATTGTTTTATCGTGTGCAGTTCGATGGCCTATTTGACCCTTATTCCTTTATAGATGTGAGGTGGGGTTAATTATAGAATTATTTCTCCTGCAAATGTTAAAATATTTCTCTTCCCAAGGGAAGAGAAATATCAGAAAAGATAGGTTGCTGTGCGCATTTCGCGCACAGACGCGCACAGCAGCCCCCCACACGGGCGCGTCAGGCGCGTCTGACCATGTTTATTTAAAAAAAAAAATCAATTTTTTATTTGTTTTTTATTTTTCCTCTTTTCACATTCTCTTTCCTAATTACTATTACATTATCCCTCAATTCTCCCCAACCATTGTGGATGCTCTCATAGGCTTCACAACCTTTGGTGGTGGTTCTACAAGGTCCCTCCAATCCAGATTTAATAGACAATCCTAGTTTATTGGTAACACAATTTTATTTCAAAAAGACATAATTAACTTCAAAAATATTTATGTAATTTAATGTTTTATTTTTTTTTGTTTGTCAAATAATTTATTATTATGAAGTGACGATGTTAAATAATGGTCAATCATCAAATTTAGGATAAGTATGGTACTAGTTTAATTTCTATATGAATTAGTCAAATTTAATATTATTCCTTACCAACTTTCAAGGTGAATATGTCATGTATGTTATTAGAAGTAGAGCCGGGAAGGATTCTAAACACGCATACAGGTAGCACACCACCTTTTTGTTTGAATTGTCTCCACGAAGTTTCATTATTATCAGCATTATTGTTATGTGTGGATTTGTATACACAGATTCATTTAATCCTACATGTATATTTTATTTTGTTAATTACGTTAAAATTCAAAGGGTGATTAATCCTTTAACCAGACAAACAAGGAATGATTTCACTAAAGGCCGTTTGGTTCAGGTAATCTTATATTATCTAAATAATTTGAGTCTGATAATGTTATATTACTTTATTTGATTTAAGTTATAAAATTACCGGATAATATTATATTACCTAGGGGGCGTTTGGTTCAAGTCATCTTAGATTACCTAGATAATCTGATTCTGGTAATGTTATATTATATTGTTTGGTTCAAGTTATGAGATTACCTGAAAATGTTATATTACCTGAAAATTGATGTGGCGGTAATATTTTAAAGTAATGTGATTACCCCCATTTTCTTAGGTAATCTTAGGGTGCGTTTGGTTCGCACATAGGAATCGGAATCGGAATGGGTATCAAATACTTGGTAATGGTAATGGGTTTTGGTGAAAGTATTTAACATGTTTGGTAGTAGGGTGGAATGGGAATGGTTACTAATAGTAGTGCTTGAAAATGAATAAGGGAATGAAACCCTTATTTTATTTGGGTATGGGTTTTTCAATTGATGGGGTATTCCAAACCCATAGTAGTGTTCTAAAAATCTATCAACCAAACAACAACAATCACTTTCATACCCATTCCTATGGACAAAACCCACCAACCAAACACACCCTTAGATGGGAAATTGACAAAAATGGGAAGTGGGAAGTGGTTTTGGACAATAATAGGAAGCCATTTTTTTTTGACAATAATAGGAAAAACGAGTTTGGGAAACGCGGATAGGGTCAAATCCGCATTTCCCAAACTCGTGTGGCCAAGATTCATACTCTACGGACAACCGCATTTGAGAAATGCGGTTGTCGTATAATATACAACATCCGCATTTCTCAAATGCGGTTGTCGTTATCGTATGATATACGTTTGGTCGCCGGGGCTTTGTTAAGTCCCTGCACGAGGCTTTGTGCTGTGCAGGGATCGCAGCGTTCCAAGACGACGTTGATCTGAAAGGAGGTCGGATCCAGCGAGGGCTGATGGATGCCATTCACCATTCCTGGGTTTTCATCCCAGTCATTTCTTCAAACTATGCCTCCTCGAAGGTGGTGCCTTGAAGAGCTCGCGGAAATCATGAAATGCATTAAAATGGAGAAGATGACTGTTTTTCCGGTGTTTTATGAAGTTCGGCCGACGGATGTCCGGCACCTGAAGCCTCCGTTCTCCGCCGCGTTTGCACAGCTTCAGGATTGCCGGAAGGTGAAGGTATGAAAGCGCGCCCTAAGTGAAGTAGCCGACTTTTCGGGATTTGACCTCATCGACACCTACCAGAGGTAAGTATATATACATATATTTTATATATTTTATCTTCTGATATGATCTCCAACTAAAATGGCTCTTCCGATCCAACGACGCTTTAATTTTACAGCTATTATGAGCCACACACCACAAACGCGTCTTTAACGCCAGCTTATCGTCGGGCGGGCGGCGATAAAGAAGAACCATAGCCGCATTTGAGAAATGCGGCTGTCGTTATACGACAACCGCATTTCCCAAATGCGGTTATTCGTAGAGTATGAATCTCGGCCACACGAGTTTGGGAAATGCGGATTTGACCCCATCCGCGTTTCCCAAACTCGTTTTTTCTATTATTGTCAAAAAAAAAAAAAAAAAAATTGGCTTCCCATTATTGTCCAAAATCAATTCCCACTTCCCATTTCAGTCAATTTCCCTCCTTAGATTACCTTGAATTATTCCAACTTTACTCTTGTTAACTAATTCTTATAATAATAATAATAATAATAATAATAATAATAATAATAATATAATAATAATAATAATAATAATAATAATAATAAACATATGTTTATATAATCAAATATATATGTGTGTATATTTAGTTTTTATAATATTTAAACATTGATATACATGCATACATACCTATAAATAAATATATACACACACATATATATATATAGGGTCCGGATCAGGTGAGGACTAACCCAGAGCATCCATTTGTTTTGATCTAAAGGCTACGATTACCACTTCTGATAAAAGGCGTTAATTGTTATTTAATGCGTTAGGGGCATTTTTGTAAACTGTTCGAGATCCCATCTGCATGGGATTAACTTCCCCATTTAATAAGTTAATTTACAAAGACCCAGACGGTGTTCAAACGTAATTTACGGACGACAAAATTCAAGGCTACCTTGTATCCGATTCTGCAATTTCGGCGACGTGCAAGGCCAGGCTAAACGATGCAAACAGGTATGTTTTCTTCCGTGATTAAGCGTGATTGTAATGAATACAGTATCATGTTGGTTTATTGAATCTTAAATTCATCAGAATTAAGCCTAAGAAGGGTTTGACGGCTATATATTGCTTATTTGTGATAATCAAACGCAGTGGGCTTTATCCTATGCATGTTTAATAATTCTAATGTGTTGCTTTCATAATTACGTTCCGCCTTTAGGGTTCTGTTGGTGGTGTGACTAATATAGTACGGTGTTGTTGATGTGCAACGTAAGAATACATAAAATGCATCAACGGAATAGTGCATACGTGGTGGGTGATCATGCGCATGTTGAGATCAAATGGGTTTTAATCAGCATTAGGTTCATTGTCTAGGTTTTGTCATTTGTGTATCATGTGGCTATGACAGTGCAATGCTGTTATTGATGATGTGCGACGTTATAATACATAAAATGCATCATAGTAATAGGGCGACTGTGATGGATAATGCTTTCCAAGATTGGGTTTAATCAGAAAGAGGTTCACTGTCCAGGGTTTTGAGTAACATGTGGTTTTGATTGTGCAATGTTGTTATTGTTTGTGTGCGACGTTAGAGTTCATAAAATCCAACATAGCAGTGGGGAATGTGCAACTACACCTGAGACTTGGGAAAAGGGGGCCACAGAAAGAAAGAAAAAAAAAAACCAAAACTAGTTTTAAACATGTACAACAAAGCATGGGCATCACGATAGGGGTTATGCACTTTTAATTTAAACAATATACAACAAACCTGGTTGTTTCGGTCCTGTTAAGGTGGTTACAACTTAAATTTGAATTTATTTTTGAAGACTATTCTGATATATATAGACTTTAAAAATGCAGGTGAAGACGAATTCAACGGCGACGGTGCCACTGGTGCCGATTTCACCATGTTCAACAAAGTATTGCACCAATGCGCTTTGGTTTCAATGAATACACAAAAATTGTAAAATTGGAGGGATCAAAGCCGAAGCGTGTTTGTCATGTAATCCGTTAGGACGACATGACAGAGTCGTAATTGCCCAAATGTGAAATGAGTACAAAACTTTGGAATGTTTGCTTTTGTAATGATTTGGGCTACTTTGATTTTTTTTTCTTCAAAACTTTCGAATGTTTGTTTTTGGAATGGTTTTGGCAACAGTGATTTTATTTGTAAACTTTATAATGTTTGCTTTTGGAATGGTTTTGTCATAGCTTATTTTAAAACTAAAATGTTATTCGTAAAAATATTTTCCACCAGTCACAATAAGCACAATATACTGGTTTAGTCTCCCCCACGAACCATGTATAAGCACATGGAATGTTAGGTGTACATTATTCTCAAATTGAATTTAAAACCTGATAGAGGTAACAATTTGCTATTTTCGTCCGTGTGATCATTGTCGTGCAGTGTCTGGGACACATAATTAGCCCAAAACGAGAGCACACCAATCGTGCACCACAGTACTAGATTTAGTGCAAACGCTCAATATTATGGTGTGCAATAACGTAGAGCGGACTGTGCATTGTGAAAATAAATATTGCAAAACTACTAACAACCTCAGTCGTGATATGTATGACATTTTCATTTCAAGATTTAGCACCCTTTCCAATGGATTATAATTGGTCAACAACCAACGCCTAAGGCGCAATGGTGTCTCTTTTATATCAAGAAACAGAAGATCCCCGAACTCAAACCAAGGGCAATAACAAAAGGTTAAAATGGAAAAGGGAGATAACAATCTTAGAGAGATCGGAGGGAGAACGTCGTTGCCACAAATGTAACCAATATGGACACCATGATAGTCGTAATTGCACAAATGTGTAATAAGTACAAATCTTTCGAATATTTGCTTTTATAATGGTTTTGGCAACACTCATTTATTTCAAAACCTTCAAATGTCTGCTTTTAGAATGGATGATTATATTTGTTTGCTAATTAATTTGTAAACCTTGTAATGGTTGCATTTGCACTAGTTTTGACAACGCTGATTCAAACACTTTGATGTTAGTCGTATAAAAATGACCCACCAATCAACATAAACACAATACACTGCACCTGTGCAGCGCAGAACTAGATTTAATGTAACACCCAATACCTTGTTGTGCAATAGAGTTGAATGGGCTGTGCATTTTGAGAACAAATTTACCAACACCGCTGACTATTCTAGAAAACCAAAAAAAAAAAAGCTCTGGTTTATTCAAGGGGAAGGAAATAAACAAACAGAGCTGAGCACGATAATGGTTTTGTCAAAGCTTATTTAAATACTTCAATGTTAATCGCATAAAAATTGTCCATCAAAAGAGATAAACACAATAATACACTTTAACTGCGCAACAGAGTTCAATATTTAGTGCATCACCCAATACCTTAATGTGCAATTAAGTGCAATGGACTGTGCATTCTGGAAATGAATTTACCGACACTATAGTGCACTCGAGAAAAAACCAAATAAGCTATGGTTTATTCTAGGGGAAGGAAAATAAACACCGTGCAACCAGAAACCTAGATTTGTGCATTCAAAAATTAATTCACCACCATTCAGTATTAGTAATTGTACTAGAGTAAGTGCTGCCATAACATACAAAAAAACACGGTACTAGTACTACGTTAGCCCAAAAAAGAGCGTTGCACTATACAAACCAAAAACCATGAACTACCTAAAATTCCATAGAACTACCCAAAAAAAAAAAAACAAAAAAAAAAAAACAAAAACAAAACAAAACAAAACAAAAGGCAACCACTTAATGTATGTTAACTTGCGCGAGCAGAGATTTTGCAATCATATTCCAACGCACGTTGAATTACAGAATGCTTGTGCATGTTAATGTTAGACACCAAGATATCGTGCATGAACCTCTTACGCAAATCATTAAGAATGTCCCTATCACCTTTTACTAAACCACACTCCCAGTTTGAAACACCCTGACCCAAATACGATTCCATGTGGCGCATAATATAAATGACACTGTCCTCTAAGATGGTTGCGTCCCTCCAAGACATGTGCATGCGCTTGGGTTTAAGGTGTCGCACGCAATCTGCCCGATCAGGAAGCTTAATAGCCACAAAAAAAGAGGCAAGGAAGGCTTGCTGCAATGTCCATAAAGAATACACCAGTCAGACACATAACCCCACTTTACAGACCAGAAAACAGGATAGTAAAACACATTAACCATCTGTGGATGCACAATAAAATACACTGTAATGCACCGCTAAATCACTCCTCACGCGCAACAAATATCCCCATGTTGCACAACACCCATCATGAAATGTCAAACACAAAAAAAAAAAAAAAAAAAAAAAAGAAGCACCACAAGCAACGATGGTAAAATCGAAAACAATATTACAATATAATTGTGACCTTACCAA